CCTATCGTAGTTCAAAGGGCATACTATTGTCCTGAGACCACTCTATTGCATTGTCCCTTGGGAATGACCCTGCCAGGTTTATGCTGAGAAGGATTAGGATGAGCCTACTATCCAGGAAATAAATACTACGTATGTAAGTATATACGCAAATACGTATGCACACAACTATGACTGTAATAGCGACAACGGATGCTTGTCAATTTGGAATCGTACCACGGATAACACTGGGAAATCGGTGTCTGGCAGTATTATCAGCATGAAACCAGTTTTGACACAGAATTTTGTTCTTGAACTATTGTATCCATATTTCATTGTTGTTTCATTTGTTTAATATGGAAGCACTCTGAGATTGTCACTCATTTTTACATGACAGGACACTTTAGTTTGAATAGCGAGTCCTGCATGAAATACATTTTAAATTATAAACTTTGACCTTGGATTTTGCAAATACTAAAAGTATTTAGTAAAATCTCTGGCATTTTCTGACTGACAGAAGTTAAAATATGTACGTAAAAAGTTTTACCAGCTAAAACCAGCTAACTCTTGAAAGTGGAATGCAAATTTTCCCACGATAAAACTCTGATTCAGTGTCTGTCTACAATGAATCCATTTTCAGTAACTTGTATCGTTACCAATAATAAAAACAGTGAATGAAAAACCATGTAGATGCATATGCTTCATGAGAAATATAAACATACCTCGAGATGTGCAAAGTTGTAAACTATCGGATGGAACAATTTTGAAAGAACTCCAATAAGGTCAAAGTTAAACACTTTTGCTACGAGTAGATTTATATGAAATGTTCCATATTCCATTTACTCTAGTAAAACTAAAAACAATATTTCCTTCCTCGCTAAACACATTTTAAAAACCCATGAAAAAAGTTTCTTCAATTCTGCTTGGGAGAACAGTAGTGGGTGAGTTATGTGAAATGGTACACCTACATAATTCGTCGGGTTGTTTGAGAAAGTGTATGATTATATGACATGTGGTAATCACGCTTCAAGAGGGTGATTTTAATTTTTAATTAAATGAACTTCTTTCAAACAAGCAAGTAACACAATGGATCAATCATTATACACGTGCAAGCACTAGTTAAATGTTGATAATGCAATTTAAGATTTAATTCACAACCTCCGTCTCTCATTATCACATACAATGGGCCATTTATTTTTAGTTGGACCAAGTAACAATTTTCATTCATGACTCATGTTACGAAATTGGATGCATTACTTATACACACGTCTTCTATAAAACCTTCTTAAACTCAATTTCCAACTTTGCATTTTTCCCTCCTATCGTACATACTTGATTTCGTACTGAAGAAAAAATCGATATGCATATTTTTGCACGCCACTTCCTTTGACGACAATAAGTATCAATAATATTTGCAGTTTCTTTGTCAGCTAGAGTTACAAAAAAAGATTTTGCTGTATAATAAAAAATGAGACAGAGTTCGATTACAAATTTCTCAGTAAAAAGTGTAAAAATGCCAGTTCATGGTACATATTTTATATTGGATTAGATTGAATTGGTAGCAGAGTTGCGAGACATTCAAGAAACCTGTAAAATTGTTTGATTTTTGCAATGTTAATCGATTTAAATGTGAGAGCGAACATAATCAATAGAGCAGAAGCAGTCTCTGTCATCAAGCAGTTGTGAAATTTCTCAAGAGACATGCTTATACATATATTTCAAAGTATTCAGTCGAATGATTGATTTTCCCAAGCATGAATATTCGTCTGATTAGTTATTGGTACCTTTAATTGAATACCGCAACAGATTTAATCAGCGAATTGACAAACTAAAACCAACCAGGCAGCGAAAGTCATGAAAGTCAAACAAACTAACTTTGTTAATATTTAGTAATTTTGCAAACATGTATCAGTTTTCAATCAATAGTCTAACACATCTATTATATATTAACTTCTGGATAAGAACAAACTAAATTGATGGTTGCACAACCATATCTTTGCCCAGCTACATATGTACATGGTTAAATTGGAAAATATTTTACAGCAAGCAGACACATAAATCTATGACTTTTTAAAAGTCCAAGATTTCCAAAATTATCCTGTAACAATGCAATTCAAATTTACAAGTCCTAAAAGGGCTCGTTACGTGTGATTAAGGTGAGCCCATATAAAATCAAAAGGAAAGCTCACGCAGGATTTTTTAATATAAAATTTGGAGAAACAAATACAAATCAAAATTGTCAATATTGCATATGCATCTGCCACTTCCAATTATGCACGACCATCAGCGAAAGAAGGTACAGAAAGAACAGATAATTCAAGCTTTACAAAAGTTACAATGTCGAGTATAATGAACCTTAATGTACATAATAATACGTTGTGATTTAGAAATGGAAATTAATACTTGTTACCAATCACATGGTCTACAATTACCATGCTTCTTACGCTGATTGAGCCACCTGAAAGTTGTAAAAGGACGCATGTATTATATGACGAATTTCGATGAATTGTGTGAGATGGTAGAATTTATTTATTTATTCGTATGCATCGTGAAGTTAATGCATGAGCTAAAATCTTGGACTAGCAATTTCAAATTTTAAGAATTTGCTATTATTATTACTTTTGTATTCGCACGTCCGTCTCCTAAATGTCTGTTCTCTATGAAATATTAAATTGTAGCCTACTTGGCAAATCATTTATAATTTCGTGCCGAGTTTTCTTGCGATTAACTGTGGAAAAATTCTGTATTTCTTCCATAGGTTTTACTGTAACTTGGCCAGAAGGAGTCGAAATTTTCTGAAGAAAATGGCACAAGGATCGATAAAAACAGCTATCCATCAAAGTCTGACAAGCCTGATATTGACAATCAGGTCCCGCGGGTTATCTGCTTCTACCAAAAAATAAGTATTTTTCATGTCATGCATGGATATCAATTTAGGTGTAATATATAGCCCATAATACTTAGAGAGCCATTTTCCGTGTTCAATTCAGTTCGATCCTATGCTAAATATGTATATACCAGTCGGATAGCGAATTGTCTGCCTATGGATGCCATTTGTGGTATTTATGCATCATCAGTAACTATCATAGTTTGATAGGTATTGATTTATATTTTTTCACACACACATATACAATATACATACGTATCTATATACGTGATGCCCGTCTTGTGTCCTTTTCACTAACAATAATTGATACCTCAACGCTTAAACTATTGCGTAAACAACATTTCGCATTTTACAATCATAACTATCTATGATTGTACTTACAAACATATAACCACATGCAAGGAAGAAATTGCATGATTTAGATTAATTTCTCCAGATGTGGTCGATTGTAATACGTAATAAGTATACATTTACATATATCGATATTCAAATTTTGAAGAACATACGAGCCATTATAATAATAGTAAATAGATGCGTTGTAATCGTAATGGTATGAATCTTAGGTATGATTTAGCAATGCCTTTATGTTTTTGTGTCAAACACCTTTGCTTTTATACAAACATTTTACTCCTCCGTCAATCAAATTGTTGTGAGAATAGGAATTCAGGAGAATTCAACTTTACTGTTGAACTAGTTTACTGCAGCAATGGCACAATTGCATGGAATGAAGGTCGCAGCTCTATTCAGCAAGACAACAAGACTAATTTTATGAACATGCAACCTTTGCATACACATTTGAATTTACAGATATTTACACCATTTTACCTGTATGATAGAATTGTATTCATTACCAGATTCACCAGATTGTCAGTCAAGTTTTAGGTAGTGAAAAAATTCCGCAATTAAAGTAGTTGATATTAACATATTTTTTAAGTTGGATAAATATTAATTGTTGCTTATCGTAGGATTACTTAAATGTTGTCTTATTGTATCAGCATAAAACCAGAAACGTGAGATATTACTGTAGACAACTTCTTTTAACAGGAATTTTTTCATGTACCAATATCAACATTATCAACAAAATGTATTATATCTGCAATACTTGCAACAACTTAACGACCAGGTCAGTCACGGATGCGTATTGAATGTGGAAATTGGGTGCAATATGCTGCATTCAATATTTGCTGGTGTCGAAGACCAAGAAATGCAGTTACAGATAAATAAGCCATTTAAAAGTATCAGATTGTTCAATATTTATCATGAAATCACTAATCTTGGTTGTACATATATCTATGTACGAAGTGTGATATATATACGTATATTTGTGAGCTACAATTCAGGAACTAAAATCTGAGGGGATTATTGCATTCACTTCTCATTTAACTTCACAGATTTGATTTCGACAGCCAATTCAGGAAAAAATCTACGCAATAGCTCAATGTTATTTAAAGGCTCGTGAACTTGTTGACTCAAAACATGTTATGTTATGCAACCAAGTAAGGGGCAAATGACCATATTATTCAATATTACCTACGCGCATACATACGTAGTTTGCTTACGATAATTGCTTTGCCATTGCACTTCATAGAAGTTGAACAAAATAATTATATCTTTGCTTTATATGAAAGTAGGAAATTGACTTTTTAACTTAATTGATGGACCAATACGATCTTACTTTAGTAAATATATTTAATAGAGTAAATTGAGCATATCACACCACCAGTGCCATAAATAAAGATCAAGTAACATCATACTCGTTGTAATGCTTGTTAACAAGTACATAAATTTACCAAATATTTCAATATCGTTAATCGATTACATAACCTCATCACAGCGGTTTAAAAAGTGTGATTGCAGTCACACACTGCAGGAGAGTCGATTTCGCTTACATACTTCTAAATGTAGTGATAGATTGGGGTAGAAGTTCTACCCACCAATTTGTGTGTACAAAGTTTTTGCATTTTCTCAAGGCTGCCAGTTAACTTTTATTACGAGTTGCTAAAAATGGGCATGATAATCCTACACGATAATGTAATGCTATTTATCTAGCTCGACAAAATGGATTTATCGCATGTTTAAAATTAGGAATTTTCTAAGTCTGTTAATACTAATCGATAAATAGAATGGGTAAAAATACCTTAAAATGCCTGGGTCCAATGTATTATGTACTCTTTAAGCAGGTACACATTATTCAAGATTTTTTTTGTAAAAGTACACCTCACAAAATCTGAACATGTATGAAATTAAATTGTCAAGTTGACAACACCATGTGTGCAAATTTTCACTTGACACTTAACCATGTAGACAAAGGCATACTAAAAATTTCAGTTTTTCTTTTAAAAAAATTATAAGCAGAGATGTAGATGCAGATGACTTTTTCACGGGTACTCTGCAACGGGTACCATTCGTGTAGGGGTTACATGAAGATGCGACGCATGCAAATATTTACAGTTCTGTAATCTGCTGAAGGACAAAGTTTTTGCACCTTAAGTAAATAATTTGATAAAAACACGCATCATTACAATACATACAAAAATTTATTTGTCGCTGGAAATTTCGAGCCTTAAAAATGCTATTATTTATGACGAATAACGTCAAACGTGAGAGCTTTGCGTAACTATATATCACACTTTGATTTTGAATGCCAATCTGTAAGCACTTAGGTACAATTTTTGATTAGCAAGTCTGTCAATAGGTTAATAAATATACATTGGGATTTGGTTGACTTGATTCAGTCTATAAAATAAATATCCTAAAACACGGCAGTAGTGGTGGCTGGTTTGTGATGTAATTATTCTGATTAGAATAATTTACGACACGAAAAAATAATAAAACTAGTGAGAGTAAACATGATCTAATAAGATACTTTAAAATTTCAAATTGGGAAATTAGAATAGGGCAAAGAGAAAGCCAATGCCGTTAAAATAAAATATTTACAACTCAAATCATGCTGTTTTCCGATCTTGTAACATATAAATATCTGAACAAAAGAAAGTAAATATTACGGATTTATTTCTGCAATGTAAGAAATATGTGATGCTCAATGATACTATGAGTTGCTACGATTAAAGTTTAAAAATCAGCGTTCAAAGAAAATGCGTTTTCATCCTTGGTCGACATCACTCCAGCTTTCTGATACTCACCAACCTTTTTCTCGAAGAAATTAGTTTTGCCTTCGAGGGAGATGTGCTCCATGAAATCGAATGGATTTTCAGAGTTGTAAATCTAACAAGAAAATGAAACGTGAATTAAACATACTAAAGGTGTACTAAATCATTGTGATATAATCAGGTAACATGACATACCTTTTTGCATCCAAGTTCAACCAGTAGACGATCAGCAACAAATTCGATGTATCTTCGCATGAGGTCAAGATTCATACCAATCATGGCGCAGGGTAATGCCACCGTCAAAAACTCTTGCTCAATCACCACAGCATCCGTAATGATTTCAACTATTCTTGACTCTGGGGTCTTATTAACAACATGCTTAAACAGCATACAAGCAAAGTCACAATGGAGTCCCTGTGAAAAATTATATTGGTCATATATATTATCATTATGTTCACATTAATCCTTATTATATAATTACTTCATCACGAGAAATTAACTCGTTGCTGAACGTTAATCCCGGCATCAGTCCTCGCTTTTTCAACCAAAAGATGGACGCAAAAGATCCAGAAAAAAATATTCCTTCGACAGCTGCAAATGCGACGACACGCTCAGCAAAACCAGCATTTTCATTAGCAATCCATGCTAACGCCCAATCTGCCTTCTTTTTCACACACGGCATTGTCTCAATGGCGTTGAAAAGAAAGTCCCTAAAGAAGAAAATCAAATGAATACTTGCTTATTTATTATTTTCATGCAATTGGTGAAGCAGGAGTAACATACCTCTCAGTGGGATCCTTGATGTAAGTGTCGATAAGTAAAGAATACATTTCCGAATGAACATTTTCCATTGCTATTTGAAACCCGTAAAAACAACGAGCTTCCGTCACCTGCACTTCCTTGCTAAACCGTTCTAACAGATTTTCGTTCACAATTCCGTCAGATGCTGCGAAAAATGCTAGTACATGAGAAATGAATTCTCTCTCTTCAGGTTTAAGCTTAAAGTCCCAGTCATTTGCGTCCTGTAAAAAATATGTTGATAAATATTTAGCATCTTTCTATAATATTAATTGACTTTTTATGCGATTTTTTATCACCAATCCCTGAATATAATTATTACCTTGGACAAATCTACTTCTTCTGCTGTCCAAAATGAAGCTTCTGCCTTTTTATACATCCTCCACAAATCATGATATTGAATTGGAAACATGACAAAACGTCTTGGATTTTCTCGCAGCAGTGGCTCATTCTCCTCCAAGCTTTTCGGGACAACCATTTTATAGCTTTTACAATTTCTGAATTTAACCTGGATGTTCTGTCAATGAACGTATGACCTGTCAAGAATTTAATCAAATTTACTTGATGAAATAATTAAATATTTGCAACATTTACCTTGCTGAGCTTGTTTTCACTTCGACTGGTAAAACTGGACAGACTCAATTTCTCGTCTGCTGATGCCGGATGAGCGATGAACTGCTTTGTGTGCAGCAGGCAGAGCAGACCCGCCAATAAAGAGCAATTCGGCCCGCCTAAAACCACAAAAGACTCACAGTTGGCAATTTCCGTCAAATGGCAAAATCCACACCACGTCTCAACTTGTCGAGACACGAAATAAGTAAACTAACGACCATCTCGTTCGGTTCATTCCAGTTCGTTCGTTCATCGTTCGTGACTAGCAGTCAAATTTTGCATGGATGTATTTTGCCTAAAAGGTGAAGAGATGTCGTATTATTGCAGCTCGTCAGTTGTGTCAGTTTGCAATTAATATGTACCAAGAAATTTAAGGCTATTACTCGAAAAGTAAATTTCTGGGTCTTGGGTCTAAAAATAGTCTCGAGATATCAGACATCATCATATCTAGTTGCCATCATCATCATATAACTTGTTCGTCTTGCATGATTGCTTGTGACATCTGAACCATTAAATGATGACAATGGGCAAGGAAGTAGTTCTGCGAGGAGCAGTGTGAGCATGAGCGTGAAGGAAACTTTCTATTTTTAATATAATGCCAAAAACTTTCCCCTGCCAGGAGAAAGCTGCTTATTCTCCACCGCCCACACACAGCTCGCTTCTCTCTCTCCCCTCCTTCTTGAATGGGTCGGATTACTTGGGCAGGAATATTAAGGCTCTGTTGCTTTCTCCTCATTTTCTTGAATGGTCCTCATGCACTTGGCAACCCACCCACTTCAATGTCGCAAATCGTCCACAAATTCCGTATAATATCAACGTCACCACGAATAGGAAAGTGCCGATTTCTCAACTCACTTTCTCTACGAGGCTCCTCAAATATGCATTTAACCTGTGAAAACTTGTGTACCATAACTCTTGTAGGCCCTGAAGTTTGCTGATAAATCTGCTGCTATAAATAACACTACTTTAATAATATATAATCTCAAAGCCAGAACAAAAGTACATAAAGCACGTCTGATCTGTTTTGTTATTGACTTAAATCCCTATTAAATTCAGAGATTTTATCTACAGACCATAAATTGAAGAAACAATAGGATTACATATATACTTTTTGTCATCTTCACAACCACAATTTCATTTTCATGCTTCTTCTCATCCTCAGTTTCATTATTTTCATGCTTCTAGATAATAAACTAAATTAATAGTTATCTTGAGTCATTATAATCATACACAAGTCTAGACTGGATGGACTTTAAACCTTCTTACCCTTCACTGTTCGCCTGAATGAGTTTCATAACAGAGAAGAATCAGTTAAGCGAGCGAATGTCGCTTTCTCCTTAATTCGTCCGTTATGGTGACAGGTTTGAGATGAAAAGTCTTTGACTGCTATCATGAAAAGTAAGACTTGCTTACGTCTCAAAAACAAGTTACACAATCTAATACATCCGCCATGAATGTATCTACTTGCATAATTTATGTACTCAAATTGGATGCCCACACTCGTAGATAATTCTATTACATGTTCGAAGCGATTTTACTATTATCCATACGAGCCTTTGAAGTTTTCAATTGGTATGAAACATATATGATCAATTTCATCACTATTTCTGCAGTTTCGAAGTACTGAAGTGAAACGGATTAGTTTCTCATCTCCTTGATTGTATACTTTGTGTGCAATTCATAGCCCAACTATCTGTCAATCCGAAAGTGGGACAAATGAAGGATATTGTGAGGAATACATGGGAAGCTTGTTTTGCATATGCTCACGAACCGGAAATGAGAATCATGATAGTCGTGGTCTACTTTATTTATCCCCTACAGCAGAAAGGGATATGTGAGGTACATGTGCTAACTATCACATATTGGTATTATGGGGGCGTATATGAGACAATAAGGGAAAAGTAAAATGTAATGCACACCCCACTTTAACCAGTCCATTAGAATATGTACTTTCTCCTTCCTCTTGTATTTATATGAGCATCCTAGTACCGTAACGAGGAGGAAATATGTGTCGATGGGATGTCGATTTTTTTGACAAGCTCTTTAAATATTAGATTTGGCTTATTATGGCAGCTGTCACAAGCCTTGGAATATTGATTTTGGATATGTTATCAAACGGAGGGTGTGGTAAAAAATGTGTATCCCATTGCAACATTATTCCTTTACAAGAGTCTTCTTTCGGGACATGGTTGACTTTCGATGTGGTCGCACACACCGTGTGGATGCTGCTCTGCCTTTCCACTGGAGAAAGCAGTTTAGCAGAGTCAATCCAGGAAAAAGTACGCGTTGGGTATGCACACACAAGTCCGGGCATAGCGTGGAGAAATATTTGGTGGAGAAAAGTGAGGTGGAGAGAGCGAGCGAGAGAAAGTGTGTGGGCCGAGGTATTGCTTGCTTTCTCTCCTCGGCTCCAGTTTCCAGTCCGCTTGCTGCTCAGTCGCCAAGGAAGAGCTGATAAGTGGAACACTGCTGAGGAGCTCATCCTCCTCGTCGTCACCTTCTTAGCTCACTGACCATTTGTTTACCTTTGGTCACTGGTGAACTAATAAGCAGGTTGAATTAAAGAGCCCTTCAGAACAAGGGGTGAAAGTTGAGATACAGCAACTGTATTTCTTGGATTTTTGGTTCAGTTAGTTGAAACTGCTCCATCACAACAAACATCGGCCTAATACTCTTTCCTCCTTTACCTTCCTGTGCATTTGAAAACAACGCTTGATTTACTTGATTAATCACACAAAACGAAGATACCTTTTGAACTAAAGATAGTAACGTAAGTATCACTGTTATTTTCTTTCATTTTGAACCGTACGAATCATATATTATTCAATACATCAACAAATATTTATCATACATTGTTACAACCTCGAAATTTTTTGGTATACTTTCTATATGTAATTAGTTAATTAGTATACATATTTATAGTATGTATGCAATGCATACGACACATAAGAAGTTCTTTTTAAATGTAGTAATTAACCTGGGTTAGGTTAGTGACGCATGTTTGTGCCAACTATGATTTCTATGAATCCAGAAATCGTAATGGATATAATTATCCAGATTAAAACCCAGCAAATATTGGTGTTATCAATCACAGGAGTAAAAATAGCCTGTTTGTTGTTTTGTGAATGATGAACTATTTTTACTTTTTATTCATTCCAGTGTTAACCTTGCAGCGAGACTTCAATAAAAGGGAAAGACTTCAGTCAGTAAATCCTCTCTTTTGATCACTCGCATTCATATTTCTGGGAATTAATATAGAAGAGCACCGTCTGCTTTTTGCCGAGCAACAAGAATTAAGGCGTTGGCAACATTGACGTGGCTAATTAGGACTGCACGGCCTACAGACTTACTTGCTGTTTATTACTACCTGTCTATCTGCCTATTTGTATGTCCAATTAATATTTCTGGAACTTATTGACAAAGTTTTGGAACAGCAACAGCTATTGAAACACTGCATGTTCTGAAGGCAAAGACTACTATTCAGAAGAGCTGTATGACTGACGCATTTTCTACACTGTGTGAATAAATGGGGAGAAAGAAGGAGTCGAAACCGTTGTTAAGTAATCTAGGGGGAGGAGGACAAAGTAGTTCATCCCAAGGCACACAATATATCGTGAGGAAGATCCACAAAGGTCGCACGGTGAAGCCCAAGCTATCCAGCGTATCCGAGCTGTCGGGAGGGGAGGGGTCGCACGGCGCAGGCAAAGAAATGTCCAAAACCAAGGTATGCTTTACAAACTAATTTATTCTGTAATGAATGCCCCAAAGTACACCCCAGTAGGCTAACTAGTGCCTTGTGTGGTAAGATAATACTAATGAACCCCACCTCTTTTAGTGCCTGGAAAAGGACGTTGATGAGAGTATGCAACAATCTGAAAATGCCAAATTTACTGATGAAGGAAAGCCAAGCTCACATTCATTCGGAGTGCGAAGCTATCTTCACCAGTTTTATGAAACTGTTAATAGCTCCAACACTTCCGGTCAGGTAAGGTCCCTCGTCAGCAGTATCCTAATTTGTGAGATAAATACTCTGTATGTACAAACAAATTTATTCGTGGACTATATAAGCGTACCTACAAAAAATAATGACTGTATAATTTCCTTCCTCTTGCAAAACGACAAAGTCCTTGAACCTAATGGAACATATATGCCCACGCAGCGTTTACTTGCTCGTTTGGCATTTAGCATTGTAGCGCAACTTTGAAAGTCATTAGAGACGCAATGGAGAAAAGTAGATAGTATCGGATGTATCAGCACAATCTACTTTACTAGACCTTGCCATTATGGCTTTGAAAAAGTATATATGATGATATATGCGGGCATAGTCATCACCACTTGTTTTTTTTATAATAGCTGCGTATAATAATCACATTGGCTTACAAAACTGCATGCACAGCAAAGTTTTTTGGTGTGGGAAATTTTCAGAGGATTATTTTTTATTCATGATAGCAAGAAAAATGTGTCTTTTAGGGTCTGAAAACCTTGTCAAACAAAGTGGAGCATTTTTCTTGCTTCATTTGATAGGATTAGAATTGCTATAAATTGTTTGGAATGGTTTCAATAATTCTATTGCAAATGGAATTTAATTAAATTCGAATCAGGAATCACCAAAATCCACATCAACATTCTTGCTTTATTTAAGATTTTCAATCGATTGGAATACTAAATTTCATACGAGGAATAAGAGGCCCAAACTACTGTTTGATTTGCTCGCATAGCGCATTCACATAGAAATAGGCATGATCACAAACAGACCTGATGAAATTAAATTAAAGTCGTCTAGTAATAAAATATCTACCAAAGAGCCGATTTCGAGGAACTATTGAATGGAATGCAATAGTGTGACGGTGGAAATAGATACTATATTACTGCGTAGTAGCCAGTAGGATGTATGTCCGTAAGTAGCCAACTTCTGGTCATTATTATGTCTATCCATCTCATATTCGCTTTGTCTGTTCTATTTTTGGTCATAAAGCCACAAAGCCCCGTTGTCCGGGGGAATGATTCGACCTACATTGAAAAGGATGAAGGCTCCTAAAGATATATAGATATGAATGAATCGTGAAAGTTATTGACATCATTTATTGGTTTTCTCCCTGCAGGAAGAGGAATATCACTACTTGATTCATCCCAAGGGTCGAAGATGTGGAGCACTCTGGTTTAAAATTGGTCTGATTGTGGGGACGACTTTATTCCTCCTTGGAGCAGTGGCAATTGTAATCGGCTACGCAATTCCCAAGCAAAAAGTAATACTAGGACGTTCTGGAGATCTTGAGATTGTGAATACCGAAGCACATCTATTTAATGAGAATCTGGATCGATGCAAGCTCATTGGTCTCGCTGGTTTTTGTTCTGGTGGTCTCGTACTTGTAATTTCACTCCTGGCTCCCACTTTCACCTCCACATATTGGGAAGATGACCCAGCCATCGAGCCCTTTCGTGTCTCCATAAGTCCCAACCTCGTCACAGAAAATGAACCAAAAAGTCCCATCCCCGTCACTGAGAAAATTAAATGCATCCAACCAGTTTGGACCGAGTAATAATCATGACTTGCCGGACGCAAACAATAACTATTTACATGTAGCTTCTAACATGAAACATCAAGCCAGCCAACCAACACACAATCTAATCATGTAATTTACCCTTGTCAACGTCACCCAAACTGAGTCGTCCTAATGTTCACCATTCTTGTTAAGCCGCCCCTCCATGGTTGCTGCTTAATATTCAAACACCGAATTGGTGTAAATTCACGAGTCAAGTACCCTGCAGTAATTGGTACCACAGGGCTTCATACATAACGAACCATCGGGACAGAGATGAAGAACATGATCCACACGCATGCATCCATAAATATACATTGATAGCCAAGAGCCGACCATTAACTCACTGTTTATTCTAGAATGAAACTTACATACCCAAAATGATCCAGGAAACAAAACTTGCTATATAAACAACAAGTACAACATTTGCAAATGAAGAACAAATCAATATATTCTATTGGAAACTGTTAAGTAGTACGCAAATAAAAGATTTAGAATATAATACAACAATGGATTAAGCTTTTTCTGCATTTCTCATACATACATACATAATTTAAATACTTACATGTGCTTCTCCTACATAAAAGCTAAACTTATTTTCGCATTATGCATACTTACAAGTTCACGATAAGCAATTCAACAACCTACTATGTACATATCTCAAACTATGGAATATTCGTGCCATATATTGTGTGTAATTCATGAAACAGTGAGAAATCTGCATACCTAGAGTTTTGATCTTTTCTCTCGACATACATTGCATAAAATACTGGTAAGTATTTAGTATATTTTATTTATTTGATGGCTAGTTGAATATATAACCGCCGCATAAACAATAGCAATGTTTTGACCGTCGTAAAACGATATTACGACCAAATGTTGTCGATTAAAGAAACAAATTCAAGTACACAGACCCTTGAGCAAATCGTACTGATGTGTATTTTCGACATCTTCCAGATGAATCTCCTGAATTCACCTTTACGAAGCCGAATGAATACGAATAATAAATATCTTTTAACTAATACATAGTTACGTACATATATTTTTTACACCCACACAATATTGTTTGCAAGTACATATGTACAACAGTCAACAGTGTCACTAAATAATTACTGCATACATGTAAATATGTACAGTGCTCTCATCAAGTCTCATATATTAACACGTAATCATTTAACACAAACTTATGCACAAACAGCGCTTTTTATCTGTACGTCCTCGATATTTGTACTACTCGTGTGAATTTTTGCAACATTACTGATGCTAGTTCTGCATTTTATAAAACACTAATTTTATCTAAAGTTGATGCGGCATGTAGGCAACATTATTGCTTTAAATTACGTTTATCAAATAGTACACGTCAATCCATTTTACCTCGCTTAAATTTTATACATGTGTGAGTTATATACATAAATTTCGTTCTGACATGCACTTCAACTTCCAATTTTCATAATTGTTATAAATATGCATATAAATATTTAGGGCATCCTTGCATATAAGCAACACGATCGTGTATTTTATGCGTGTGACAATGAAGATGCATCGTTTGTTAAGTTCAATTTGTGAACAGTTTGGCACGTCAGCGTAATAAGAAGAAGGACAGGAGAGAGAAAGCAATCCAGATTGGTGAAAGTAATATAAGCGAGTTTAGTGGATTGACGCGTTTCCTCCGGAAGAAGTCGATAGGTTGTAACGGCATCTGGCCGACTCCTCCAAATACTCGGATGAAACAATTTCTTGTTGAGATGGTTGTACGCCAATAGATCGCATGCTGTCCCTCACCTAAAAATTGGAGAACCTTGATCACACATTTAAAAAATACATAGTACTCACCAGACCTTGATTTTTTGTAAATGAATACTAGTATCTTATACATTTGACTATCATGAGACAAGGTGTCCAACCTATGTATTTTCACAACATGTTTTCATAAGATTTGAATGTTAGTTCCTCTGCTAAGAAAATACGTATTATGTGAAAGAAAACATCTACTGAAAATGACTTTCTCTTCTCGCATGACCTACATACTTACGTATAACTACTCTGAAATCCACTATTGCTAAACAAAACAAATCAACGACATTATTGTTTTTTGCTATGTAGTGAACGACATAAGTAGAGAAATTATTGTTTTTCTTGCAAAAAGGAATGGCCGTAATGAGACGAAATAAAAATGAAGAATGATAAATGTACATAAAATACCTGCTCAGCATCCCGAAATACTCTGAGAAAGTTTTCGCCAGCGACCTTCTTCAAGTCATCGTTGGACCAGCCTGGATTTCTGGCAAGTTCCACGAAAAGATGAGGATACTTTTCTACATCCTCCAATCCCGTTGGCGTCTGGAATTGTTGTATCCAACAAAATTAATGACCCCAAAATGATTTGCGAAGAAAAACTTGATAAAGCATAAAATATCATGGGATTTAGAGAGCCTTATTATGACCCACAGCATGTAATTGGCCAAAATAAGCAAGCATTATTGATTGTATGCCTAATCAATTAAATTTTATGATGACCTCAGATGGTGTAATTAGCTTGGGACTTTTGATTGGTGACCGACCACGATATAAATAGTTTGTGGTCGACAAGCGGACAACCTTTCGCAAGCCACAGTGTCCACTAAAAGAATTGTGTATTTGTACGTCGATAAATACAAACTGTGATTTTATTAGCAGAGTTTTATTTTATATGTGTTGCTGAAATGTGAGCTGCTGAAAACGTGTCTACTTTCTAGATATTTTACCTCAAAATTAAAAATGGGTGCGCCGTATATAACTGCAATAGCTGCGATAGCTGGAATATCGGCTGTAAGTCATGCATAATCTGTACAGATAATTTTTTTCGAGTAGCATTGGAAAATTGTTGTATCAGTAATTACTCGTTCCTTTAGATTTGTTCAATATTAAGCATTTGCGGTACTGGTTGGGTTATAGGAACCCAATTAGTCAATCTGAATGGAAAACTAGAGAGCATGGGGCTGCCTAATCCTAAACAGTATAATGAATGTACCAGGATATACAAGGACAACGATTGTACGTCTTACGTAGAACTGGTGGCAGATATAGAAGTTCGAAGGAGTAAAATTCGACTGATTCTAATTACAAGTTGCGCGATTGCAATTTTGGCCGTTTTTTTCCAGCTAAGCGTTTCTCTTCTCGTTTTCTTTTCTGACCTCAAGGTATCAAATCCGAGCACGTTTATACTTGACATTAATATAAAAGCAATGAAGTGCGACTGGCATTCTGACTTTTTACATTGCTTTAACTTTATTTAGTCCATCCGGAGAAGAGCAAGACTTTGGATGATTTTTCATTTTGTGATCGCATGGGTTTTATTGCTCTGCATATTGTCAGTCTATCTAACTCGAACTGGATATGATATGGGAATTGAATCATCCTCCGAGTTGGTGCAGAATTTGGAAAATGTCGTATCAATAATGGAGCCCACTAAAAACTTTAGCTCTTTGTCAACTTTCCTCAAAATTAGCTTGCCCCTATTCTACACTGCAGTGAGTTCTAATCTAATCTGCGTTTCAATATTATTTTTTATGGGGATCTTTGTTTTGCAAAAATATAACGAGTACGAGTCACATTAACGATTACATATGTAGCTATCTGACCATTTAACCACTAATAATTATGGTATAAATCAACCACAACTTCCTCAATGTTATCTATAGCATAGAATTATTGTAACTTATGCAGCGATATGTATGCATGCATGTATCAATCCATGTTGTGAGAGCGTGCAGAAAGGAAAGTTGAATAAAGTGGCTGTATGCTCAGGGAGAGAGAGAATCTAAAGTTGGAAATTTATTTGCGGAGAACAACTTAATATGATAAATCTGCTTATGGGAGAGATGAATTGGAAGGATCGTTCATCTAAACTGGCCTTCACTTCATTCTCCCATTATGGAAATGCATGAGAGAGCATGCAGAGCTGCGAATAAGTTTGCAAGCTTGCAAGAAAAAAGAGATTTGGTAGTGAAAGTTTTTATGATTTGAGAAAGTCGTTTCTCTGCCTCTGTCAAGTGAAAATACTCAACTTGTGCAATAAAATGGGTGTTGGTTTACCACATATAAAATTATGTGCATATAAAATTTTCTGGATTTGCATGCTGAAAGTTTCTATTTTATTCTCGAGCACTTAAAAACGCACACACTCACAAAATTAATGCCATCATAACCACTTCCTATGCCAATGGTGTCGATACCTATGCGCCCCCGGATGTAATTAATGTGATCTGAAAGAAATGTATAAAAATCTTTAATGAATGGAGAAAGACAACTTAATGGAAACATTTTTAAGGGCTTTGTGCAAGTCTGATGGTTGTACTTACCAGCCACGTCGACCACGGTCGCATTCTGTGAGCACTTTACAAAAAAATTGAAAAAGGCTACCATCACCTAAAGATAAAATTAAAGTTCTTACAATTAGTATTACTTTTCTTTTTATATTTATTTTAGATGAACTAATTTCTTACAATGCCTCCGTTAAAAACCTGAAAGCAAGTGAAACTCAATAAGTCCTTATTTTGCAATTGTGGTGACTATGTTGAAATCACATAAAAATCCCTTTGTATAATTTAATTTCATTAAATGCGGAAAGCTGGCTCAATAAAACTCATTCTCGATTGTACAAGTAATCGTGATTGTGCAAAGTAATAAAAAAAACTTTATCCATTTAGATCAATTGGAGCTTTTCAGTTTTAAATCATGAATTGAATCAAAGATGGTTTATAATATAGTTGTTTGCTTGAGAATAAATCAATCTACTTATATTAACGCTTTAGTCTTATCGCAACTGCTTTTGTCTCTGACAACAATAATGGAATCCATTAAAAGATCGAAAGGCTAGGTAGAAACGGGCAAGATTTAAGAAAAAACTATTCAAAACGAGTCCTTTGGGTATGCAGATAAAGACTTTTAAAGCTTCCACCCGTGATTCATGCCAATTACTACAATCCCTTCTCCATCTATTCTCAAAAAATTTAATTGTATAAGCTGCAACTGGTCAAACTTTAAGTCGACTGAATGATCAAGGCTAAAGAGACACACATTGCTGCTAAATCATCTGCTCTCGTAGTATTTTTCTATACAAAGTTTTGAAGTCCAGAGACCACTCCCACCGGTAAAAAAACTACCAAACAGTTCCCCAGAAAGTGTACGTTGCAGTAGTGATATTTTTCGGGGGGTAAAACTTACCCCTGTGACCTACTCGACCTTTTTCTTATGGAGGAACCACAACAATGCTTCCACCCCTTGCAGTAGTGGACTTTCCGGCCCATTTTCACCAACTGTGAACTCTCATGGCCAAACCATAAGAGGGGATTCTCTGTTCTTCCTCTTTGAGGGCCCCATCTCGAGCATTCGAGAGTACTTGAGGTCAATTGTTCCAATTTCACGTTTTACCATTCTCTTGCTAATTCGAAATTTGTTTCACTCAGCTACACCAAAATGGTATAAAATGAGCAAACTAAACTGTAAAACACTCGCGGATCGGACTTCGGCAGCACCGACTAATTTGTCGGTCATGCAATCGAGCCCACCACAAAACCTGCCACCCACTCGTCGGATCTTTACAGTCGGGATATTCAATCTCAAACGTGAAACCCGATTGGATTTGCCCTATCTGTGACGAAATTCCGGGTCATCTTCTTGGCGACCTTGACTTAATAGAGGATGGACTATTTGACGATAAAGTTCTGGATGATAAGACAACAGGAGAAAGGATAGTTTGTGAACGCATTCCCGCACCGGCGTTCACAAAAGGTCAGATTTACGGCCATATAAATATAAACAGCCTGATTGGGAAAATTGATGATATGCGAGAATTCCTCAATGAAAATAATTTTTCTTTTTGTGGAATCACGGAGACACGCTTACACGAAGGAATTTCAACTTCGGAATGCCAAATAGAAGGCTATCGATTCCTTCGCTTCGACCGCACATCGCGACAAGGAGGAGGATCCGGCATGTACATACAAGAAAATCTTCGATTTCTTCCTCTTCACTACGACGTTGCCTTTCCACATGAAGTGGAAATTAACATAATTCAACTATTTCAAGACTTCTCAAGACCACTCATTATTATATTAATTTACAATCCTCCACATATCAACAAAATGGATTTTATCGAATGTTTTGAATCGTTGTTACATTTAGTTACTAGAGATAAGACAGATTATGTCGCCTTAGGTGATATAAATATTGATTTATTAGCCACTTCGTTACAGAGCTGTAGATTAAATAGCTTAGTTAACAGTGTAAACTCAATTCAAATAATTAAGGAACCAACAAGAGTCACTCTTACGTCACAGACTCTTATTGATCACATTTATGTTTCCTTTTCTGATAAACTTAAGCAGGCAGGTGTCTTCTCCGTTACCACTTCAGACCATCGGTTTACATTTTTTGTTAAGAGAAATAAGCAAGTCAAAAAACCGTCAAAAATAATTGAATTTCGTTCTTTTAAGAACTTTGATGCACAGATGTTAGGTAAAGAGTTAGAAAATTTGGATTGGAGTGTAAATGAAAACTCTAGCGATGTTGACTCACAATTACTTTATTTCGAATCCACAATTCTCAGCTATCTAGATGTATTGTGCCCCATTCATAAAAGAAGACTGCGTGATAATGCTGGAGAATGGATGGATAGCGAATTATTAGATTTAATCAGGAAACGGGATGCATTGAAAAATGAATTAGATAAAAATCCAAGTTTAGATTCCAAACGAGAGTATAACAAACTTCGAAATTATGTAAAAAACTGTGTATCCGCCAAAAAGCGACAACATTTCAAAGATAAATTTTCAAAGTTATACTCTCAAACGATTTGGAAGACTTATGATGATTTAATTGGAAGAAATGTTAGACAGAATAGCGAAATTCCATTTTTAAAAGTTTAATTTCTGACAAGGATACTATTTCCGAAAATTTGAGCGATAATTTTATATTAAAGAATGATACCCCATCCAATGTAGAATCGGATATCATTAGCTCTGTGAAGGCTGATGCCTTATTTGACAACGAGAACTGTATAATTAGCAAAGAAGAGGTAACCAAATGTATATCAAAATTAAAGCTTAAGTCTTCGCCAACAGATAAAATTCCGATAAAAATGTTAAAACCTCTTTTACCATTTTTAGTTATACCTCTAGCTATGTTTTTTACATCAATTTTTTCGACGTGCAATTATCCAAAGAAATTTAAGGAATGTACAGTCTTACCGTTATATAAGGGGAAAGGTAGCTTGACCAATGCGAGTAACTACAGACCCATCTCATCTCTTCACTCTCTCAGCAAACTTTTTGAATATTTATTAAAAACTAAACTTATGAAAAAAGTAGAGTCACTGAAGATTCTTGATGATAATCAACACGGATTTAGGAGTGGGAGATCATGCACTACGGCATTAACTTGTTTCTCGCAAAATATTTTTAATGAATTGGATGTACCAAATAATTTAGTTTTCGTTGTATTCATTGATTTGAAGAAAGGATTTGACTCACTAAATATTAACCTACTAGTGGTAATGTTGCGTAATGTATTTTTGATACAAGGAAAACTGTTACTTCTAATTTCCAACTATTTAAGAGATCGATTTTATTTGATAAAAAATGATAAATTTATGTCTAAACCCTTCATAGTTAACCGGGGAATTGGCCAGGGTTTTGTGTGTGGTCCAAACTTGTTTATTCTATTTTTATCAGATATTCATGTAGTTCTAAAAGTCTGTTACTACACTATTTTTGCCGACGACATTTCCTTTGTCGTCAGCGGAACTAACCCAAAGGATGTTCATGCAAAGGTGGCGTCCATTTTAATTAAACTAAATGAATTGTTTATTGTTAAAGGACTGACAATGAACTGGGAGAAGACAAAATTTATGATTATTAGAAAAAAGCAATGTAAAACGAACGTGAATAACATCTCTAATATTATGATTAATGGTAGCGAAATTCGTAGAGTGAATACTTATAAATACCTAGGGGTTTGGATCGATGAACACTTTAGTTTTAAAGATCACGCTGAAAATGTAAAGAAACGGGTGTGTGTAAATATTGGAATGATTCATAGATTTAAAAGGTATATAACACGACATATGTTAACTGTTCTCATTAATGCCTATGTAAACTCAATAACGGATTATTGTATAACAATTTGGGGTCCGTCTAGTTTAGTTACACTTAAGGAAATTCAAGCAAAAACAAATAACTTGTTAGCTATATTCTGTTATCCACGACTCACAAAATTTTATAGCAAATCGTTCTGGAAAGGTAAATCTGACAGAAATGAACTGAAAATTGCCAAAATTGAATGTAGAAAATTGCATGAGAAAGTGAATTACAATGTTTTGCTCGAACAATTCAATCTGTTATCTATAAATGAGCGACTTAATTACTATGCTATTTGGAACCTTTATAAAATCAAGAAATTTGGATCAACCGTTGACCAAATTAATACAATGTTTACAGTGAATAGCTGACATAATAGACATAATACTCGTAGTAGTCAGAAGCTACAAGTGATTCAGCACAACTCCGAGTTATTCACAAATTCAGTCAAATATTTCAGTACTAAGTTATGGAATAGTTTGTCCTCTGCTACAATAGATCAAATCTTAGATTCTGACCCAAAAACTGCAGGAAATGTTCGTTCAATTTTGGTAGAACATGTCATAAAAAACCGTTATAATGATGCATAAATAACCGCATACAATAATAATTAGTAGTTTTGTAAGGAATAATGTTCGATAACGCTTTGAATGTCACGTATTTTAGTATGTATTATGACTTAATTTAACTAAATCTTTCTTCTCCTATTTTTTCGTGTTACTTGATGAAAACCAGTCATTTCATGTACTGATCGAGAAATAACACATGAATAAATGCTAAACAAACAAACAAACAAACATAAAATTGAAATTTTCGACAGTGGTTCAAGAAGAAAGGGCAAAAATAAGAATGCTTCAAAACCTTACCAACTCTTGAAGAATGTCATCAGGGACATTTCTTGTTGAATTACAAAGGGCAAAAGCTGAGGAATGGCTGAATATTACTGGCGCCTTGGACACCTGTGAAATACAACATTATGACATCATTCTTTTGGGTTATAAAATTATGACTCAAGATAAAAACTTGGCAATTGACAGAAAAATGTATTTGGGTTTTTTGATGGTATCAAAAAGACTAATATTAGGTTAGACATGTATCCATCCCCTGAAAGATCATTACACACAGGGTGGTTTAAATGTCATCCAACAATGGAAAATTTTTCAATGGGAAAAATCCCTAAATCCCCATTAGTTACAAGATTTTGGATTAAGATTTTTATAAATTATTATCAAAACTGATGGAAAACTGATGACAAAATTCTTAAAACATTGAGTTTTAGAGACAAAATTTCGGTAACTAATGGAAATTTATAAATTTTTCCCATCGAAAAATTTTCCATTGTAGCGTGACATTTTAACCACCCTGTATTGTAGAAGCCTTGCAAGTTCATTATCAGCGCGTGGTATCGTACTTTTCCTTTCAGTGAAAACCTATCTCCAGTATGATGGAAAAGATAGGTCAATGAAAACGTCTCCTAAAATTGTTACTGACCTAAGGCTTTACAAATTACAAAACTAGGGCGGAGGGTTACGCCGGAAACCAAAACACGTAGGTTAAATAACTCGAATACGAAGACGACGAATACTGAAAAGGGAGAAATCCTTCAAGTGAAATTCTCAGATGATAAATTCAGATGGGCGACACCTAGTCAAACTACTTCGGGTATTTATGAATTTGGAAACTATTAGAAAAGGCAAAACACACCCTAGGTAGCAAAGAATTAGAATTCCTCCATTAATATTCTAGCAAAGTGTATTAATTTTCTTTGCAATTATGACCACCATAAATGCATTTCATCAAGAAACAGGTTGTCGTTGACAAATTTTTTTGGGAAGTGGTGAAAACGAACCTTGGGGACTCTGGATTCGAAATCGGAGTAGGACAATTTTTCTAACTCGGACAAAGTACAGAATCCCCAATACTAAATATAGCAGATCATAGGTTCTCAATGGACCTAGATATATGAAGTATGGCATAATCATAAGATACATGTAGGAATCATGACACAAACAAGCGCTGGGGCAACAACAAGACCAATGCCAGCATTTATGTGACCGTCATCTTGTAAAAGAATTGTAAAGATGGGATCCCGCTTTTCCAATGCAGAGAGAATGATGACGCCGCACAAGCAGAGATCCAAAGGATGGAAAGCGTCGGTCAAATGGCGGTGATACTTGCAAAAATGCTGAGATATGAAATGGACTTCATCAAGTATGAATTGTTTTCTGAATTGAACGAACGACATTTAAGAGGATGAATAAATTTTTCGTACTCTGGTCATCAAGAGAACTCTTATTTACCCATCCTGATAACCCTGGATTTAAAATCCATCAACTGGGAACCAGCAATGAAGCACCATCAAGTACTGAAGCGGAAGTTGGATTTTTTACTTTCTAATTTGAGAAATTTGTACTCTTTTCATAGTCTTATAATCTTAACCATTTAAACGAATTATTGTTCTCTATTGATTTAATATGAGTTTAATATTAGATGATATTAAAACAAACCTGAAAAACATCCATCATAGTCAGTCGGGACGTGTGAGAGAGGTCCACCAGCATTCCCAAACGATTCATTTCTTTGACAACTGTCTGCAATAGAAACCACACAACAGACACATATTGCCACTTTCTTTCGGATCATCCATCCTCATGACAAGATAATACCTGGGTACAAAGTCAAACTTGGTGGTCCGGCTTACTGCCAGGAATGACAACTATAAAAGACTTTCTCTACACTCATATGCATTCGAAAAGCATGATGTCCGATGGAGGAGGCGATGGACGCCGACCAACCAAAAATACTTTCTCCAGTTCCACTTCTCCCCACTCGGTCCTCTCAAAGATACAACAACCGATATTGTATCAATACGTATCAATGTTTTCTTTCGGGTCGGTTACTCTTATAAACAATCCAGTCAACTAGATGATGCCATTTCCTTTCCCTCAAGCCAACATCCTTCTACGGAAAAGGAAACTGTATACTCGATGATTAAATGCATACTTGCTCACAGTAAGTACATAGTTTATCCCCCTCGTATTTATAACCCATGGGCTTATATCTGCTATACTATACCTTTAAGGCATAACCTTCCAGCTTATAAATTAAAACAATTTCATACTTTGACAAGAAAACAAATATGACAAATGTCATTTAAAAATCTGATACTATTCATAGCAGTGATGTGTGCAGATGGATTTCTGGGGATAGTGGTACAAATCTACCTTGATGATTGAAAAGTTGATTGAATAAAAACGTTAAACACATTTCTGGGGTACTTATCAGTTAATAACTTTGTTTTTGATTGAGATATTTCTTTCGTGTGCATCAGCTACAATCCTGCACGAGCTCAGAACCCCATGGGATCTGTCTACTCCTTCTTTGTTTTTGGGTCCCCAACTTTTAATCACTTTCTTTAATCCTTGTGCTCATACCATCTTGTCATCATCGAACTTTCGTCAACATGTTAAGCTTTCGCCTGCTGCAAGGGGGACCAAAAAGGGCGGATGGGATGGGACCCAGAAAAACTCGATCGGATTACTAAACGTCACTCTCCTTCATCTTTTCGCCACCCGTCATGATGATGTTGATGTCTTAATGCGTCGTCTCTTTTATTTACGCTGGTCGTACTTCCCTCTCTCTACCTATGTTTACCTATGTTATCATTGTCATAAATGCTGTCATCCTTATAGAATGGTTTTTGAGAGGCATGTTGTTCCAACAACAATTTGTCGTGTATTTTGTGACAACTTAATTACTTGCATGACAAAAACGACAGTCTAAAGGAAACTCGATGGATCTCACCCTTCCAAATTCAGTCAATCCTCCATGCTGGGGCTTATGTCCTGCATTATCCACCAAGGATGAGTCTGCCCTGTTGTAGCAAACACAAAAAGAAACACTATTTTTAAAAACTAGCCATAAATAAAAAATGCTTATTTAATACAAAAACCAACATGAAAAGCATGCTCAACAATTTTGTGTCATTTCAAAATTTACTCATTACTTACCACGCTGTGTTGCAAGTGTGAGTGAGCGTGAGGTAACGTACGCTTAGGAACGATAAAGAATAAAGTATATTAATTATCTATATAAAATTCAACAACGGAGAAAGGCAGTCACAGAATAAGAGTCAAGAGTCAGAGCTTACCCAAGGTCGTAGAAAGCTCTGAGAGTCGCCAAACTGTTTCCTATCGAATGACCGCCTTCAACCCCAATCAAACTTGCTATCTTTCCCTCTTTATGAGCTTGGACTATGTCTGCGAGTCGATTAAAGACGTTTCACATGTATTTTAAATGTGTTGCAGTATGTGGGCAAAGTAAATGAGGAACATTTAGTACCATCCGCACTGAAGGCCAGTTTCATGTGATCTGGATATTTTGACACTAGTCGAATAATGAGGTCAATTTGCTCCAACGTAATCTGCACTGCATTTTGATTTTGCGACTGGCAGGGAGCATAAGCTACGAACCACTAATCCACGACATTGTGAATTAAGAAAAGATAATATATATGTATTAGTTTATTTAAAAGTCGCCATTTCTAAAAAAAATACTTATATGAGGGACCACCAAACGCTTGTCACTGCGTCGTAGACTTTATGCAGCGGATGCATATAAAACCAGAAATGCTAATTCACAAGGAAATACCTAATGTACGAGTAAAACTGTGGTTCTGTGCGTACTTGAACGGTGGCAAGGAACAATAGTTGGTTGGCACACAATGATACCTCAACTAAAAAGTTTTCTTTGCGACGAAGGGAATGTTTGCCAAGTGTTTTGCAATATTTGTTGCTTCATGCCCAACTTGTACACAATGGAGTAAATGCATCACCATATAATATCGTTTACCAATATCACTACTGCTATGCAAAATTAAACACTGTGTGCATACACGTTTCCTGGACAGAATAGTAAAAACGTTGTGTAGAGAGGCGTATTGTATGTCTATATGAACTTGTGTCACATTATTTAGAAAGAAAATGGCTGTTAAACTTCATTAATCGGAAAGTAGTCTTGTTTTCTACGGGTTTAATAACGGTAAGTAAATATAGCTTTGATATTGACCATACTTTGAACAATTTTTCAACCAACCCAAGAAAGGCTTCGTTAAATAAACATGTTGCTTTCTTCACATATATACTACGATAGTTTTAGTTATTGCAACAGTCCAAATACAGAAATACATGTATTTGGCACAGTGTGTATAGTTCGCAGTTATCGTCCCTCTACATAAACCTTCATACACGTACCCATTCGTATGTCCATTTGTGATTAAATGTAATGAATAGTTTTGCTTTGTTGAAATAGCATTGATCGATAAATCGCTGAAATTTTACGCAGTTAGAACTGGGTATAGCACTGCTTACAGAAAACTTTCACCCCAACACACTTGACTAAATACATAAAACTTTAATGCGGATTTTGATTAATTCAACTCCAATTCAGTCGATATGTGGAAGCACAAATTTAAAACTGAGGAAATCTTGGGCACATGTGAAAGGAATGACATAAATGTATAATATGCAGATAAAGAACCATGCAAATAAATACCTGAGCTCCAACACGACCACGACGTAAGCTGAAACGATGAAAAATATTAATTACATGTACATACATAGTAAATCCAGTCATAAAATGACAATAAACTGTAATAAACATAAATTAGTATTATTAACCGTGGAAGATCGGTGTGGGACCAAACGCTTCGGGACCACGGAGGAGTATTTTTAAGATCAGAGTTAAAGTTAAAATCTGATAGTTGCCCATGTATAAATTTTCGGATGTTATAAGGCAAGTCGTTATGCCTGTGAAAATAATTAAGGCTGCATTATAGCAAATTGAGTTACAGCAGATATCATTAAAGAGGACGTTGGGCTTCTACATATTTTTCTATCCATTGCATACCCGTCGATTAACGGGGTCTCGTTTAGCAGTCTTTGGACCAGGAGGTACAGCTTGATGTCATCCGCAGTGACATGCTTCTGTTTCTCCTCCTTCTCCACCTCAACGACGACAGCCGCGATCGGAGTCTCTGGACTTTCCGTGTTGATAAAGGGACTTTCAGAGTTTGTGACTGTTAATTCGATGCTGCTGCCGGGATCGATTATATCTTCCCCAAGGATTACTGTTTCCTCGATAAATTCCAAGGGAGGCACTTGGGTGGAATTTTAAAAGTTTTATTAGCCGTTTCTACACATATTCTGTCAATATCTGCAGTTTACGATGCCAGAAAAAACATACCTTCCACATTCTTGTTACTTCCGCTGCTGTCGTCATTTTGTGCTTTCCCCGACCTATTTTTTGCTTGACTATTAGCTCCTGTAAAAATGTAAGATTCTTTCTTATTTGACAAAAAAATCTCATCATCTATTGCTTGCATACTGTTTATAAATTCTAAGTATACATATATGCATAATGTAATCAGCTTACCAATCCCAATTTCTGCAGAACTAGAATACAACCCAAAAAGTACTAACACAAGGATGCTGACAATCCAACTCTTCATATTCTCTTTGATTGATTGAATTTTTGTTGAATCTTGATTTGGTCGTCTTGAACTTGATTTATTAATTGATTAGGAAGTATGTACCGCAGTGTAATATTAGGAACTTACATATTGTTGGGTATGCAATATGCCTGTTGATTGAGTTGAGACTGAGACTTGTCCCATGTGAGAAAATCTCACAGGTTAGAGATTTGTAAAGTGAAAGTAAAAGTGAACTGGGGAGTGAGAGCAGGAGGTCTTGTTTTGTGAGGAGAGATTAAGATTGGTAATAGTTTTGTTGCAGCAGTAGTGGCACTAAACTGGCTGCGCAAACTTCTTAATCCGGAGATGGATTGAGTTTCACTTTGATTGGTGGAATCAAATGGAAGAAGTAATCAAGACAAGTAGAGAATAATTTTGACACGCTCTCAGAATACGATCAACCTCTTGGAAGCAATGCTTTATGCGCCTTCTTATCGTCTGCCACTTGCCTTCACTCCATTATTCACCCACCGCCTCCTCGATCTCTCCTACTGCCGTAGTCTAAAATGCTCCCAGAAACACAAGCAGCTGCCTAATTGGCCCACCTCACCTTTGGCCCCAGAATTTCTTGTGTGAAATCTGAGCATTTATTAAATGACTCAGACCGCCTTCTCCGGTTTAGCTTCGCCTCCTCTCTTCTGCCACTAAACTAACTTATGCCGACAAACAATAAACTGCGAACCAAGAAGCGAAGACGAAGAAGGCGTCCAGCATCTTGGGAGGTTTCTCCGAGTGCACACCGGTCTCCATAAGAAGTCCCTGTCTACACGGCGCTCGTGAAGGAGGTGTCGGCCGGCGAGATATTGTTTTCCAGTAGAGTGGTAAGCAAACGGCATTAAAAAGGGGCTGAATACTGGAATGAGGTTCAGTCAGGTGGAAGCGAGATGAATCTCAACCATGGAGTGAGGTGAACGTACATCTACTTATATACATTGGAGGACGATGAGAAAGCTGAAATACCGAGAGACAGCAGAGGTGCTAAATTTTTAATGATTTGATCTTCCATTCTTCTCTGGCAAAAGAAACATTACATTTTATGGCCACAACATTTACCACCACGCTTCCGAATTCTTAATGGACACCACTCGAGTTTGCATTCCTCTCCACTTTCTCCCCCTTTCCCTAACAAATTGCTAGCTCGGATAACTATGCGCCCAAGAAATTTCACATGAACCACAACAAGTACATACATACGGGCAACATATTCTCAATTTCTCTAATAATCAGGTGCCCAACTATTTACAAGATTTTATCTCCTGTGAAATTTGAAATCCTCCGGAGCCAGCAATCAACAAGACATTTACCTGAACTACTACACTATCAGCACACTTATGTATGTATGCATGGATATTGTACCACCTTCTGCTCTGGAATGCACATTCATGTCTTTTGATTATTTGCTAACGCGAACTGTGGTTGGCACAATGCCCAGAACTTCACCTATTTGGAACTTTTGATAAGATTAGCTCTGAGATAATCTGCCTAGTGTAATAATAATAAACAACCACTAATGTCGCACCGAGAACAACGGACAATGTTGGTGGTTTGGAATTAATCTCAAACTTGCTACATTCCATTCATGTCTTCTATTTATTAATTCACATATCCACCAACAGAAAAGCGTTCTGCCACTCTGCCACCCTCTCCACGAGGAGAGTATGCACTTGAGGTAATTTTGTGCTTGTACGTTTACCACATTCTCAAAAACCATTATCAAACTTATGCCCATCTGGTGTAGGAGGGAGAAAGGCCTGGTAAAAGTAAGACACTTATGTACGTATAAGAAAGTATCATCCAAGGGGCGTCTGAATTTAATACTTTATAAACTAAAACTACTCAACTCATCGCCGAGTTTCTGACAAACGCCAACCTCATTGTCAAAATTGGGACAATGCATAACGTGTCAAGTTCTCTTTCCTTCCCATCCCGATCCAGCAGGTCATTCAATTCAACTCTTAACAAATTAAGGAAAGTTATTAAAGTCAGAGAAAGAGAGAGCGAGTGAGATGCTATTGAAACTTGATACAGAACATGACTCTGTATATTTCAGTAGCCAATCTGGTTAAGATCTGCTCTCGTATTTAGCAATCTAAGCAGGAACGGCGAAATGTGTTTGTTCTGTTCGTGCTGCAGATCAGACTAGAGACCAAGACTATAAAACTAGGCAAGAAGAAGTTATTCATCTCCGAATAATGTAGAAAAGTAGCCGACAATATTGCACCGTACGGCATCCAGGTTCGTTGTCCAGGAGTGGTACACATAAATGAATGTTGTACATAAATATCAGAGTGAAACTGCTCCGAGGGTGAGGCAATATTTTAAATTATTTGCCAGCCTGAGAAATCACAGCCACATTCTGGAGGTGATAAAGAAATGTGTTGATAAAATTTTGATAAGATTAGGATGCGGAAAATTGACCTCATGGAGTCTTGGATATGTATTTATTACACCAAGCGCTTCCTCCTGATTTGGTTTATGCACTTCACCAAGCATCACGACCGCCACTGCTGCTGGCTGGGTGCCGTGCGTATGTGTGCTTTACTTACCTCATCCACATCCACCGAGTCGTGCTTTCTCTCCCTCTCTCTCTCTCTCTCTCTATCTCCGTAGCGTGTAGGTGAAGAAGATGTGGTTTCCACTCCATGAAAAGGAAGCATCCTGGCTTCCAGTCCTCGGTGTGGTGGTAGTTAATATGGATGTGGCATGGCTGTGGTCCTATGGCGGTGGTGTGGTTGGATTTGAGTTTACTGAAGCTCAACCCCAAAAAAGTGTGCACCTGGCGTGGTGTTACATATACGGAGATAGAGAGCTACCGACTTTCACTCACTGAACTCAACAACTTTCATATAGCCAGCACTGAGATAGCAAAGTTGCTGGACTGGAGAAAATTCCCTTTCTCTCAACAAATGAAAACGACAACCTTCGTCACATGAGAGAGTTTCGTCTTCCGTTGGCAGGGCGTAAAAACAAACGTAATTTACCAGCGTAAAGCCTTGCATAAGTTAGCTAAACTTTGATGTTGTCTGGGATCAGACAGAAGTATGCATCTATAAATAAAACATGCATTCATACACATAGATTTCGAAATTGCAAGAAGATTTAGAATGCACTGGTAAACCTCTCTTCAGTCTCATTTCTCCTGCATAGACAATGTACAATTACCTCAAGTGATTTTAGTGCTGGTTATATATTGTTGACTTGAAGAAAGTGCATTACACATTTATAATGCATACAAGATGAGTTTCGAAATTCACTCTGTAAATTCGAGAGAAATCCAACTTTACTTCAAATAATTGTATCAAATAACATGTATACCTAAATATAAATGTCGATGTTCATCGCCGATTTTCCTTGGTAAGACACCAAGGATGCCACTACCACCTTATGCGCTATATGTACATACGTGCAAGATAGAAAAATAAAGGATGTTACATATTTTATTGCTCCATTCGTCAAGAATTTATTGATGCAGTTCGATATGGCCGCCGTTAAGATATTTTTGGTGCACTCTCCTCGTCGTATTATGTTTTTTTGGCCTTCACGTCCGGAAAATGTGGATGTGAGCTGAGACGAATTGAAATGAGTCTTTATTTCGCTATCATAGTGCAACCATCCAACTATCCACCCAGAGAAAACAATGGAAAGATATCTCGTATCTATATTTTTATTACCTTTAATTTTGTTATAAACAATCAGAGAAAATACTAATGGCTTCGTTAGGGAATAAATTGAGGAAACGAAACTCTATACATTTTGATTTGTTGGAACCATTGATGTCAAACGTGGTGATTTGTACATGGAATGAATGGTAAACAATAAACAATACTGCGAATTATTCTACCGAGCACGAGAATAGAATTACAATTTAATCAAAGTTCATTAAAAATCATGTATGCTCTTGGGATAGCTTTCTCTTTGCGCGAGTGATTTATAAAAACCACGTCGTTGCCGGTTTCATAATTCAGCAGGGGCAAAAAATTAAACTCTTGCGTAATGAAGATAAATGAAAACGTAATGAAAAAAGAGTGCATCGAATCCGATTTCAATTCTCTCAAAGATTGACAGTTAATAAAGACGAAAAGCGTATGACACGAGTGTGAGGTTTTCATTTCCGATTGGGTTTGAAAATGGACAAGTCTGTGTTCACTTCTCATTCGGGATGAAACTTTGAAAGAGTTTACAAAGTGATGATCGCTCCTCCCAATCAATCTACTCAAAGTTTTGAACAACAGTGTGCACTGCAATGGGGGTAGTTTTTTATGTGGGGGAGATGGAACTGCGGCGGAGAAAGTAGATTCTAAATGCATGCGTTGGAGTTGGTTTATGTGGGCGCTGCTGCTGTCTCTTCTGGTGATGAGTGAACGAACGAAGCTACTTTTCTCTCTCACTCGTACCAAGAACTGGAAGGGACAAAGACAGAGGAATACGACTTTTGAGAAAGTTTACGTTCGTTGCCTCCAGTGGATGGGTTGACTTTTTGAGCTGCAGCTGGAAAATTGTTGGGTGGCTGGGTTTTGGAGTGGGAGTGAAAGGCGGATAGGTTGGGAATCAATGAATGTCACTTTTTATCTCGTGGAATTTCAAGTTTGAGAAGACAACTCTTGACACCGTCGTATTAATCATTGTTCATCGGAGGTTTATGTCCGCAGTCAGCAGTCACTCTCGCCGATTCATACACAACTAAAATGATTCCAAAGCTTAATACTGGCTTTCGAATTCTTTCTAAATTGTCGAGTTTGAACTTTCAACAAAAGAAACTCGGGATTAAAGGATGGCGGAAATTACACAAGTACTTATATAAGTGTTATACAATTTTTTTGCACCCAGGGGTATAATCTAAATTATGTATTGAAGTGGAAATGTGAACATTCAGTCGTTGCAAGAAGATGTGGACATGTATGTAGGAAAACTTGGAAAGTGCAAAAAACGAGTTTTTTTTCTTAGGGATGGACATTGCTCTTTTTTAAATATTGGCACTCAAATATTTCTGTGAATGCAAATTGAGTAATGAAGGGATGGAGAGGATTTGATCTTTTTTTGTTGGTGAATGCCGACCCGGACTTCCTTTTTTCTCAGTCCATTTGGCCAGTTGAATAATCAATCAATTCTACATACGAAGAGAGGGAAAACTCGGTCTCTGGTGGACGAGTGTCAAGTAGTTTTGTCAAAAACGAAGTGCTCTTCTCAAAAAATAACTTTTTTTTACAGAGCTCGAGTTGTCATTCCGGTCCGAACCAAGTCCTTCCCATTCTCCAAGTAATGCACACAAATGGTTTTCCCTATTGAGAGTGTCAGACCCAACTTTTTCCAGTAAACAGCTTTCTTATTTCCACCAGTCCTTCTCTCAGCATTCTTTGTCCTGTGGTCACTCTCAGATTTCCTTTCAAACACAATCGACGCTCGTCCAACCTTAGCAAATACAGCGACTATTATCCCCCTTACCTTGTTTGAATTGCCCCTTTTATTCCGGTCTTCGATATGTCTTGTAAGAAATCTGTGTCTGTATGTAAACATACTGCTGGACAGAGGACAGTCTTAATTCCGAGGTATTTACAATTGACTTTGATTTTATTTGTTGTTACAATCTCTTGTATGTAAGTACAATTCTTAATAAATAAATTAACTGACAAACATTTTTCCAAACAATAATTATACTCATGCCTCAGAGCTCTGGCATACATACATACGCACATATTTATATTGGAGTAGCTTCCCCATTCCGCGAACCATAATAGTGTTAGTATACATGAACTAAAGTGTTATCAAAGTATTTGTACAACAATATCTTATTTGTGTTATACAGTCGCTGCCCGTGTGTGGTGTGTAAATTCAATCGAAGATTGTCGAAACGCGACCTCATTTTGCGGCCTAATCATTTAGCACAGTTGCACGTCGTAAACAATTAAATACAAGTATTTATCACTTATAGCACGATTCAAATATTTCGTATGTAGTTTTTAAGATCCTGCAATCTGATACAGTCGAATCATTCCAATGCATTCATACTTGACTCAATTAGTCAACACATTATTTATTTTATAAGGAAGCTGATTCAATTGAATTAGCAGAAAAGGAAATAAATATATGTATCCATAATTTTCATTAACATTATTAACTATAAAAAATTTAAATTCTACTCTACGCTTGGCTCTTACATGTTATACTTATTAGCAAATAATGTCTTTTCAGACTCACGTGTTACAGATACGAATATGTTAAATTAATGAGCAACATTGTACATATGTAATACGTAATGTTGCATTGGCGCCTGTTTGAAAGCTAAAAAAACTTAACTTATGTATATAGCACACATTAAATCAGTTTGACGAAGTGTTTCTTTGAAATGGTTGGCAGTAATTTATACTCGTAATATAAACTCGTAAAAGCATCAAACGCAGTACAAGTTTGTTGAGGTGAGTCTGTCCATAGCAGAATTTTTACTCTGATAGCGAAGACGAGAGAGAATTCCATTTATCCATAAAGAGAACGTGACATGGAGAAAGTTTCAAGTTTTCACATGAAGAATAGTTGGTAAAATCTAAAACGAAGTCGTCGCAGTGCTGCCTTCTTGAGAACAAGTGTAGTGTTGGCTGGTTTGGTTTTAGACGTCATCAATAAGCGTTCTTTGGGATGACAGCTCATTTATACGCCGCTTAGTGACCATTAGCCTGGTCAACTCCAGAAGACTTTGATCGAGATCTTTCTCCTACATATCGGCCAACCGGGTATTTCGCTTCTTACAACCGCCAACTAATCTCGTAGAATCCTTCTTTCTTGTGGCACACGCCTATAAAATTCATTATACGTAGAAAGTACATAGTTCCTATAATCTATTTTAATATTTTTTGTTAGCTCTACCATTTGGTAGACGATTTTTTTCTCAGATTTTTCGTCTTTCCTTACTCAAGTAACATTCATAATCAAATTTTATTATTAATAGCCTAGAAAAACTTTTTTTCATAAATGTTTATAAGCACGAAACCCGTGAGATGATCTCTTTGGTAAAATTTTACATAAGTTAGAAGATCTTGGGTTGTCGAAACTTTGCTGTGTATAGAAGTAGATGTTTGTTCAAGGTACATGGGCACACGCTAACGTTTGGAACGAGTAAATATGTTTTTAGCGAGGGGCAGCAGCGTCACTCTATGAGTTTTCATTCCTTAGTAGATTTCACACTTATGGGAAACTTGAAACACGTTTATGGAGGAGAAAGTTCAGTCAATGGTGTATCTTGCTGCTCCAAGTGCTTCCGAAGAATCCATAACATTGACGTAGTCGATCGGGACAATATGCCTCGGGTTGTGTTTGCAATTTAATTCAAGTCTCTTCTGGTTTTGGCACTTACTGCTCAAACCGTTCAAACCACCAAAGTTAAACTATTTATATTGTGTAGGTTAGGTCATTGTAGTGGCGACGCATATTTGGCTTGCACTGATTTTTGTGTATTAGTTAGTTAACAGGGGGCTCAACAGTGCATGGGTAGATATGGAACGAACTGTATGCAACTGTAGAGTCGCCTCAACTGTTTTAAAAATAAGCTTCATTCACTTTTACTAGGTTTTTAGAACGCGGGGTAGTTTGAGATTTCTAGTTTCTTGATAATGTGCCAATACCACTGTTTAACACTGAGCAATATTATTGATAACAAAACCATGGCGTCGTTGAGAGTAGCATGTTGGAGTGGAGGGTGCAGGGTGTAGTCCAAAACGAGGAGGAGGAGGCGAATGGGGTGCGGAGAGCTGAATAAATCGACAATTGAACTTACGAACGAGCAGGTTTAATTGAGAAAGGAGGGAGAAAAGTCGTAACCGTATCACGACCCCACGTAAACGCATTGGGTGTGGCCATCTATGTATTTGGCGGGGATGGAGTCCTCGACCGGCTGCACTGCCGCAATTTGCCACTGATCTCGAACCTGGATTGAACAAATCACACATATTTAGCACATCGTTGCTCTCATTTGTTCCCGTCCCACCGCTAATGCATCCAAACCACAGCGGTCTCATTTTTCTTCCATGTTTCCATAAATATTTCATGCTTTGTTGCAGGGAAAGAAGTGAAAGTGGTTGTGCGCTAATATTCGCTCTGCTCTCACTCTTTCCACTCTTTTCTACATTAGCCTTGTCAAGAAAACGTATCCCATCTCGTGGTGCAAGCCTGTCTTCACACTTAGGATTAGTTCTTTTGACAAGGAACTGTAGAAAATTGCCTAGCCGATCTCCTACGTTCTCCTCAATCTCATACATACAGATATGTTCATAAATACAAATACATGCATATAAATATTTTGGCGGAAACAAACCTGATATTTTAATCATACAAATGAAATCGCAATTAAAAGTAGGGCTTTGTTACCTTATTAAATACTATCTAAAACATATAAATATTAATTTATTCACATACTTGCTCTACTCTTCTTAATACTCGGAGAAAGTTGTTTCCAGCCAATTTTTTCAAGTCTTCAGTCGTCCATTTTGGATCCTCCAACAGCTTTGCAAATAGATTTGGATACTGCACAACCGAGAAGAAGCAAAAGTAAATATGTAAGTTGCGTGAAAGTCTTTAATGAGAATAAATTAAGTTTAGATTTCTGACCTTTGAGACATCTTCCAGTCCTCGTGGAGTGCTATGAAATAAAGAATTTAAATTTAAATTTAAATTGTGTCATAAATTTAGAGAATCTATTTTTATAAAATTTTCATAAAATCTAGGCGAAAAGATGAGATGCGACACACGGCGAGAACGAGGGAACAATTCCAATGGTATTTTCCTTCAAATTCTGTTTTTGCTGTTTGAATCAAGTTGCTGAGTGAGTGCGTAGTCTGGGGACTCTCTTTAATCATTACCATCATCATCATCATCAACAGCACTCTCACACTTTCTCTGCCAACATTCGGAAAATAGGGTGTCAAGCATTTGCTAAAGAGAATCTTCTTCCTCCACTTCTTTCTCCCCAATACAGAACTGCATAACACGATTACTTTTCGAGGGACGTTATACCAAACAGAAAATAAGTACATGCATGTGCATAATATGTGCATAGATGCAGATAATACGCACTTCTGCCCTTTGATAAAGTGAAAGCTAAGGAATTTGTGCTACACAAGCCATCAAATATAAATACCAGTATTTAGTACCAGACTTTCATATATTCACAAATTTAGACTCCAGCATTTCTCAAAATGGCCCATTGAGACACAAAATAGTTCCAAGTTTTGTGAAAGGCTTTCTGACATGGGAAAAATTTTATGACTACATAAATGAGGCTATTTAACCAGGAATGTGCAACCCTTTGTTTTCAAATTGAGCAATTTCTGAAAGTTATTGTCGCCCTTTCATTGGATCTATTATTATTTTTAATTTAAATTTTTGTCAAATGGTAGCACCATGAGCTTATCGAACCGTCCTGTCCAGCAGTCTATCAAAGACTTCCGTAAAATTTATGTCCATCTGTCCCGTTAACCGATCGACTAGAGATTTGTACGTCCAAAATTAGGAATTGAGATCGACGAGTCAAATCGGTTCGCAGGAAGACTGGTGGGCATTAAAACCGCATTTACTTTTGGTGCAGACTGGAGTAGATTTATCTATGCCTAAATATTTTTGGGAGGTGAAGCACTTGGGTCACGTAATGGATATGTGAAGAAAGTTAAGATTTCTGACGATATCAAGTGCCATAGCGTAATGGCACACTGTTTTTTGAGAAATGGTGGAAATAATCCGATGGTTTTTATATATTTAGATAGTGTCAAATGTATGTAAAGGTAGGTGTTGGCTCAGATTTCCAAAGTAAACGGTTTCTAAAACCATACGATCAAACCGATATTGTAATATTCTCAATTTTTCGATTTCTTGGGATTCAAATTTCGTCTTTTAAGAAAGAGAAAGCTGAAAATGAGAATTCGAATTTCATAGTGTGAGATTTTCTAATACGTGTAATATTAGTACTGACACAGTATTACTTGAGCTAGATAAATGCACAGGAGGCTAAAATTGTCTATTAATTTTCTACTAATTTTGATGCAAATATTAAGCAAAGATTTTCAATTTAATGAATATCTTAAACAATTTCATATGAAAGAATGGCATAGGTAAAATTACACATGATAAAATTAGAAACTTACTAATTTATCCCGTCGAAGCTGAAATATATATAAAAACATTTTAATTAGATAATTATCAAGGTATTTAGTATATACAAATATTGATATGCTAACCCAGCTCCAATCCCAACATGGTCGACCCCCGCAACATCTCGGATATGATTGATATGAGCTGAAATACGGATATAACGAAAAAATGTAGACATGATGCGACATGCTTATTCGTCCACCATCATCAGTTAGACAATGCTACACACATTTCTTCCAACCACATGTACATATTTCAAAAGACGACACGTCATGAAGTTGAGGCTTTTTCATCAAGTATGAATAAACTAAGCGTAACATTGGTGAGCTTTTTTTGATGGACAGAGTGCAAGGCTTCCTTCCCGTTAGGATCAATAGAATAGAATTTTGGTGGCATCAACGAATTCCAAATGCCGAGGAGGAATTCCATAATCGAACAAAAATTTGGCTTCCATTATATTTTTCTCTTCTGACGAGATCAAAATTCAATGATGCCGGTCTGCCCTTTTCGATTTGGGATGTCATATAATATTTATTATCGGACGACTTTGCCATATGCATTACAATGGAAGACTTTCCCTTTTGCATCCTGATACCTACTTTCTTCGACGGAACAATGAAATCTATTTTCTATGTACGTATATTACGATCCGCTTACACGACGAGTGACATTCATACTTTTGTACTTACTCCACTCGTGACTCGCGACAATAATTTTTACTGGTTCACGTGTATAATTTTAACTAAAATTGCATTATGCAAATAACCCAATCCTATAAATTGCCGAATCTTGATACTATTGCTCATACTTTTCCACGACATTTTACACCACGATATAGCTAACAATACTATTAAAATGCCAACGAGATATTTACACCCATATGACTTGAAACCTTCACAGCTAACCATATATACATATCTGCCAACCAAAAACGACCAAAAACCAAGTATTTAAAACATTTCGTCTTTATGCAATACTTTCTATACACGGAAAAGGTGTTCATATGCCAAATCTGAAGCCACATTTATCTATCTTTGGTAAAAGAAATTCTTGAAAAATGAAAAAAAAATCCATGTTCAATTTATCTCGACACACTTGAGTGAAAAAGCAATAGGAGAAAGTTTTGTACAGCCGAGTGGTGAGTATGTAGCAGACGCCAAATATCATTTTTGTGTTGAGTTTGCTTGGCATGATTCCGTCGAGAGCTAAATTCATCGATTACTTTTTTTTCTTTCCCCAGCAAACCTAAAGACATCCTTAACCAAATCCTTTGACTGGAAATTGTATCTTTGCCCGTTGTTGGTATTCACATAAGCGAAAGTTTGATTTTTAAGATTGAATTTCTTCAGGTGTTCCTCAAGAGGGCTGGTCCTTCTCCCCCACTTCTCTCTCCCTTATGGGGAAACACAATGAAAGCGGATTTGATAGGTTTTTTTCTATAATAAAACTCCACAAGATTAAATTCCCCACTTAGCAACTCTTTGTTCTGTCTTGTGCCATCCGTCCACCGCTTGGCACGAGCGATCCATACAAACGACATTAAGCGTGGTCCAAAGTAATACAGCAGTGTCGACAACCAACCGCATAACTAATTTCAAGGCACGTTTCCAAGTGTAGCGTAAAAATTCCTTTTGGAAATTGGTACTTTTGAAATCCTGCAATATCAATATGGCCACGATATTTTGAAAAGTCTTTCGCACACCCTGAATCCGTTATCCATAGACATGGAATTTCCACATGGAACATATTACGCAGAAAAGAGCTAAGCTCAAAGTAGCTACGGTATGATGGGAAGAAGATTGAGTGGTAGTTGACATGACTGACTTTGGTCGGCATAGTAAACCCTTTAACGAAAGGATTGTACTACTTGTGTGCTATGCTAAGAGATGCTGAACGGAATTCATAAAAAGGGTTCCTTTATTAAGTGAGGAGGAGAATCAGTCAACCGATACAAGTTCCGGTTTCGACTTGGAAAGCTTTTCCTTGAATTTAAATTTTTCGCCAGCCCTGTTGTCGTCGCAGTGAGAGTAGTTCATATCGAGTCAAACTTGGTCAGATTGACATGATTGCAAATGGTGAACGTCTACCAAAATCTGTTACACCCTGCCTTGCTCATGTCTCGTAATTCCAATTTTCGTAATATATTCAATTGGGAACACGAGGAGGAACAATTTCCGATACATTTGTACATGTGCTGGAATTGTGTTGGAGTAGAAAGAAATGAAGTGAAAGCGAGAGAGAAGAAGGGAAAGGAAAAAAATGTCAGGTGAAATGATTGGGTAAGAATTGCGATTGTGGGACTGAACCGAAAAAATGACAGCAGCGCATAATGGAGAGGGAATGAGTTTGATGGTGAAGAGATTGCAGTCAAATATTTCATATTGCAAGGCAATGACTAAATCATTCAACGGAAGGAGATCGCGGGCAGGTTGTCGGTGGTGCCTGTCTGGATTCCGTGTCGTCGTCGTCGTCGTCGACTGTACCATCACATACCTTCGAAACTTGGGTATGCACGTGTATAATCATATTAGTTCCCATTTTATTCTGCTTCCTCCAGCCAAATTTTGTTCTTCGTAATAATTCATTTCCACATAGATACGCAAGGTAACAGGAGATTTCCTCTCTCCCACTAACTTACATATTTCACTGCAAATTAAGTTTGATTTCTTGTTCAGCGTCCCCGCTGTCAGAACTCCTTTTGTTCCCCCTCAAAACACAACGGATGCATGCAAACGACTTTCTCCACTTCACTTTTAACGATATTCAGTGTCTTCATGCAATATAAATGCTCTGGCACAACAGAACCCTCTCTAAAGACAGGATTGTTGGCACAAGACAACTTTTTTGTAGAACACGGGATCACAGCGGAATAATCAACTTCTCAACTGTTTCCTGGAAAATTAATTGGACTAGAAATCCCTTTCAGATTGATGGAGAGCAACTACTACGACTTACTACTTGATCTCTGCATACTCCCAAATTCCCCAGCTGCAAAGTGTCTCTTGTGTATGAATCTGAAAAGTCGTCTTGTTTGTAACGTTGTTCAAACTTAATTACGTTCCTCTTCAAGGTAATGTAATATTAGGGAACGAAATGGGTTTCTTAACATGAACACCTCTTCCTAACTTTTCAGTCTCACTTCCTCCTATCAAAATAATGGAGATTAACATGAGAATTCTTGACACCATTATAGTGAACAATCTGTATGCACGCATATACTACGCATGTACGTATATATCCCCATCAAATAATGAAATCCATTTTGACATGCCTTTTTGAAAACATTTTGAATCCTAGATTTATTTGATGCACAAAATAAAACGAGTAATAAATAAATATGACTTTTCTCAGTTCAATAATAATCTGGATAATCTAATATTTTTTTGCACTTGGTATGCAAAAAAAAACTTTCTAATAAAAAAATTTCATAACTCCAGAAGTGTAAATAAAGCTTGAAAAATGGTACAGAATTCAATAGTTGTATATGAAGTTATATACCTACCCGTTCTCGTTGCATTATGCAAAAACCACCATAAAAAATGTACAGTGCCCCTTGGTGAGATAGATGCATATCAATATGCTAGGAAGTGTGGTGGCGTCTACCTTGCCTGCCTGGGAACATTTGTAAGCCTAACCACCTTTCCTCACACCTATCACCACTTCAGATCAGATATACTTTTTCTTCAAAACTTTTTACCATGTTTTAGCCCCAACATTGAACATTGAAGGAGGAAATGGAGAGCTCTAGTTGAAATACATTTTTTTTTCTTTTCGAATTATTTGCATGAACCCAACCTTGTAAGTTGATCTTGATCTTAGAGGTGCTTAAGCGTAAGACTAAGAAACTCTGAAAACTAGATTTTATCACACCCAAAAAGACTTGAACCGTGTTTAATCTACTAGAATCTAGAATCCTAAAGTGAGTTCTTTTTTTTCAGGAGCAAGCAAATGAAATGTTTATAAAATTTCCCGACGTATCTCAAGCATACGAAATGCTCAGAAGAAAATCTAAAACTTTAACGGCTGAAATACAAGTCCATAATTCAAGTGAGAGAGAGAGAGAGAGAAAGGTTGGAAAATCCACTTGAAAAAGAAAGAATATGAACCAGGCTTTTACAGATAAGATGCATTTTTGTAGGTTTGACTGTCTCTTGAAGGTGCGGAGTCACCATGTGGGGGTTTCTGGTGTGAAGGCTAAGGTTCATGTGTATGTCGGTTTGTGTTTCCTCCTTCGGCTGAGTAAACGATTGGTATGGAAGGGCACGCCGGAACTTTTACGAATTTGGGAATGAGCGTCTTCCAATATATCCGCCATAGTCATCATCATGAAATAAATTAAATTAATCAATTCCCTTTAGCCTCGACATAAGTGGGACCACGAGAGCGAAAGCAAACTTTGAACTTGCTAAATTCATTTTGCCCTGGTTTGTTTATTCGCCGTTTGGCTGGGCTGCATTGCATAACAGATTACCTACGAGCTCTCCTAGTCTCTCGGCACTTTTAAGCATTATTCCCTCCCTGCCAGTGGAGAGAGCATCAAAAGTCGGCTATGTCATTTTGCTAAGGAGGGGAGCTTGCGAGGTTGATAATAACAGATCTTGATGCCCTTTGGATATGTGATAGGGTCTCATGAGTGTACTAAAACCCTGAAGTGGTTTGACTCCATGGCCACATTTGCGCCCGCCACACCCACTCAAAAATGCCCAAAAAACGCTTTCACTCCAGTTTTCACTCACTCAAATCCACGTCAAAAATCCAATTTTACTCGGATTTTGAAATTTCTTTCATCATTACACTCCCAGATAGTTGCTTTCTTCAATCCAATATCAAACCCAATTTTTTCGAAATTTTTAGTATTTTTAAAATTTGAAATTCTGAATGAGGATTGTTGTAGTAATCAACAACTCAAATTACGCCTGCGAAATAATCATCAGCAAAATTGAGTTTGATATGGAATTGAAGAAAGCAACTATCTGGGAGCGAAATGGTGAAAGAAATTTCAAAATCCGAGTAAAATTGGATTTCTGGCGTGGATTTGAGTGAGTGAAAACTGGAGTGAAAGCGTTTTTTGGGCATTTTTGAGTGGGTGTGGCGGGCGCAAATGTGGCCATGGAGTCAAACCACTTCAGGGTTTTAGTACACTCATGAGACCCTATCACATATCCAAAGGGCATCAAGATCTGTTATTATCAACCTCGCAAGCTCCCCTCCTAAGAGGTTTCCATCTAATACTCTATAGGTAATCGCCATCCATATATTATTCCTCCAGGTCTGTTGATATTCTTTTGTAACTAGTGGAGAACCTCGCTCAAATTGAAATATGTATGTTCCCATAAACATCCACCAATGTTTTATTTTCCACTTAAAAACAAACTGGTGAGCAAAGCTGAGTGAATAAACTTCATCTCAACGAAAAATCCTTTTCCGACAAATAAAAAACGAGAATTGTAGTCAATTTTCATCTCGGTGATGGCTGCGGGAAAAACTTGTCATAAAAATAGTTCGTAAAGTTGGTAATGGGTGGACATGGAATTTCGAATGTGTTGAGAAAACCAGTCCCATTTTTTGATTATTTGAGGCAGCAAATCCAAGTGAGGAGTGAGTACTTAGTGATGGGAAATTTTTGTACCCTGACAAGCAGAAAAACAGTTAAACCCTGAGTTTAATGTGCCTGAGGAGAAAGTGCTTTGCCAAAGTTATGTTATGAGCATTTTGTCAGGATATGTCAGATTTGATACACATTAAGCTCTGCTTTGGTGGTAGTGCACTTTGGAGGGTGAGATACCACGGGCTTTCGCACTCTGCACCATCATCCAATTTTTCAGATTCTTGTAATGCTGCCCAAATGGGACAACTCTAATGTCGTATTGGTCAGAGATTGAAACTTCCGAGCCTCGTACTGCCCTCAATAACGTGTACCTAACCCCGACGCCAGACATTACATACAACGCGCTTTTATTGCTCATGAGTGCGGAATGTACACCAATGACTTACCAATGACGTCGGTGATGCTGGCCGACCCTGTAAGTCATAAGGATAAATACAAAATGGTGAAATAATCATTAATAGGTAGTATTAAATTCTAGCATGCATAATTAATCCTGAAAAAATACTCACCATTGCAGGTGATAAAGTAGTTGTAGAAGCTAACCTGTATACACACGCATAAAAATGATATTTGACCAACAGTAATTAGTTATATTTTCCAACAGTAAAAAAACGAACCATTACTAATCCTCCGTTCGAGCTCTAAAATTTATATGAAAGTGAAAATTCAAGACATACAAAACAATTATCCCTAAATATTCAATGAACTTACTAGCTCACGAAGAATATCGTCCTGTAATGTGTTAAAAATAATAGTTTAGGTAATGTCCAAGTCACAACGACAAATGTGTATTTATGTATTTGTCCAAAGAACTCACCGGCACATTCCTCGTTGAATTACAGATTGAATGAGCAGAAGAATGGCTGAAAATTACCTGAAATAAATTTAATAAATAATTATTATTAAAATATTCATTCATATTCATTAACTAGCAACTAATTATTCTCTTACCGGCGCTTTTGTCACATTTAAAGAATCTCGCATCGTCTGCACTGACACATGTGAAAGATCCACTACCATTCCAATTCTATTCATCTCTTTTATCACTTTCTGCAAGATGAGAAACAAGTTTTTAGATACATATTTGTCACAGATGACGTTTAGCTGGGTCAATTAGTGGGTGCAATCAAACGACTAGAATATGTATATATGTATGTACGTATTTATACACGATTGAACATCCTGCCGCATTCAATGAACTCTCGGCAACCATATTCAACACATCAAACTTTCTTGTGATCAAAACAAGCTTGCAAACATATTGCACTTATCACCCCTCATCAAAGGGATACACCATTTGGCTCAAATTGTAGAATAAACCACCGCTGACTTTACTCCTTGGCTAAACTTTCACTTTCTTGAGGAGACCACTTTTATGTAGTGAAAGCATATCTTTTCGATTGAGTAATACAGGTCTCCTTTCAGTTTACATTGAAGTCAGATTCTGGTATAATTTAGGTAATTATAGATGTACACAGAGTCGCTGATAACATAATCAGTACTAGTGTACCACACTCTGGAGAAAATGACTTCGTTGTGCACAAAAAAACAGACCTTTGTTTAATAACAGGTGTTTGCATCTTAACTATGCACATTTTTATACTTGTTTCGCAATTTGAAACATCTCTACTACTCACGAGTACATCCATGCACATTTAGATTGTATGTATTTATGTCATTAATTGGAAGGTACATTAATTGCAAAACTATAAAGATATTGCATAAAAGCAATAGAGCACTATTCGCATCGGACACGTTTGCCATAAACTGGGCAATGCGAAAGGAATACAGATATGCGAACCGTGAGTTAATTTGATTGTGTGCTTATCGTTCAAACTTTACTGTTAAGAACTTTTGATGTTGAAGTGCACACCACACGAGGAATAAGTTTGCTTTCACTGCCCCCGCCGCTGGCGGCTGGCTGTTAGATTGGTCAACGGTCAACTCTCTGAGAATCGCGAATCGGAATGATGGCGAAAGGAAGGAAAGTGAGCACGTTTGCTGTCCACAAGTTCCCACATTCCCATCAGACCACCGTGCTCATGAATTTTGCATCAGTATTTAACTCTGATTCACTTAGGGGAAAACTCTCACAAATGTAATGCAATTCAACGCCAATGTTTGGACTTTATATGGAAAGCTTTTTGTCGAATGGAAATAGAAAACTTGGGAATTTACTCCTAAAGAATTTAGAAATTGCGTTTTTCATTTTCTATTAAAAATACAACTGACTGAGTCCTGGCAAAAACAACTGTGTCGTAACCTTTTATAACAACTAAGGAGCTGAACCTAACAGAATCTACTTATACGAATCTAATATGTATTATTATACAGTTCATAAGGATAAATAATATACGATTGCTAAATGGTTGGTCCATAATTCTTTTCATCAAATCAATAAATTACATAAAATTTTAGATCATTGTGTTGGAGCTGCTTTGTTGTCATCTCGGCACAAAAATAAATTTCATATTCGATTGAAGAATTAATAACTCTTCTTTTACATTAACTTAAATTAAAGGCAATTGAACACCGACGAATTTTAGCTCGTTCTCGTGAGCTTTCGATTAAAGTTGTCGTAAAAATATATATAGATTAAAAGTTAGTATGACATTTATAGCCCACAGTTTTAAAGTTATTTTACGGTTTAAGAAAGTTTTAGAGGAAGAATTACCTTTCCAAATTCTTTTAAGCCTACTTCTTTTAAGCCACTGGTTTTGGTTTTCTGATTCGGGTCATCTATGCCTGCCGCATAGTCGGCCCTATAAAAAGTTAATTAGTATTACTACTGACTATTTCATCTTGCAACGTCAGCATTGCACTCATATTCTGTATTTTCATAGAAAGGCTGATGCAAGCAAAAAGGAACTGAAGTTACATAAATTGGATTTAAGTAGAAATTTGTTTTACTTTGTGTTTCATTTGGTTAGAGTTCATGAGCAATTCTGAGTCTTTTTATTAGCAAAAGCAGATAAGAACTTGTAAATATATAGCGCTGAAAAATAGAGTAATATATGGATAGATTAATATAGGACAAGTAAATTCTTACCATGGAGTGTTGCATGTATGAGTGAGAGTCAAATATCGTGCTGGAATTGTAATTATAATTATTTTAGAGAATCCGTATTTGTTGGTCTTACTTGAGACCTGCAAGGTTCATACTGTGGTACATACGTACAATCATGCAGTTAAATATGGTTAATCGTTACCTCCAAGATTGTAAAACATCCTCAAGACAGCAATGCTATTTCCGATAGAATGACCTCCTTCGACACCAACCATGCTTGCTATTTTACCGCGCCGATGGGCCGTTTCAATTCCTGTACATTTTACGACACATCATTTTAGGAGCAACCTTCTTGGTATTATATTTGGAAGCATCGCCATTCCATATCACAGATCCCATCAGGGTCTCCATCCCACAAATTCTTCCACATTTTTCCTCTTTTCACTAAACTAGGAGAAATAAAACACACTCCGATGCTCTATTCTATTGCGACATGTATTCCGCTTCGCCAGGGTCTAGACTTGAATATGAACTTTGGAACAAAGGTAGTCTACCATGAAACGATGTTCGTTCATAGAAGTTGGACTCGCCCATCACCATGTCGGATACATCATTCCAATCATTTTTGGAGGGACGTTTTATTTTATTATATCGCTTTCCACCAGATTTTCCCACTCTGGAACACTCAGCGTTTTGCATACTTTTCCTCATCCCCCCACATTGACGACAACGACGACGTCGACGACGCCTGGTCTATTGAGGGAACTTTTCCATGCAAATGGAACTGCCAGCCCAACGACGGACTTACATTTACGATAATACCCAAGGCTCGATTCTATGGTTTGGAAAGGAGGAGGGTTAGCTAATATAATGGCCCGAGCAGTTAGTTCACAAGTGACGAAGAGTCCTAGTTGTAGGTCTCTCCTCGATTTGTAATGTATTTATTTTATATTTATGCGACATTTTCCTAGTCAAATTTTCAAACTTTGCTAGCAAAGCTGGCTGACAATACTTTGATTAAGTATAGAAAATGTGGAACGGTTTTAAAGATATAAACCACGTGCAAGACTGACATGGGGCATAATATAAAGCAGTATGGGGTCAACAGTATGCGAAAATCGTAACTATTTGCTAGATTAAATATTGGCAATTTAGTCAAGATCAAGTAAAGATTAAGGCTAACCAAACCTAACCAACCTAAAACTTGGCGTCAAAGGAAAGAGAAAGTAGGCATTTCCTGCCATGTTCGTTCTTACGTGATTAGTCACTCGCTATATTTGCCTATATATATGCGTATGCTTATTAGCGTACAACACATATGTACGGATAGCACATGCTGATCCAAAGAACAAGATGGTAGGGATTACTAGAAGATTTGTGGCATTATTTTTTGTAGTCTAATACGAACGGATTGGTGGATCTACAAAATACTTCGTTTACATACATGCGAGGAAACGAAGCATTCATTTGAAATAACTCACAAGTTATAAAAGGAGATTCACATATGAAGATATGAAAAAGTTCAACAAATGTCTGAAAATATTTCCCCAACATATCAAATATTATTTCCAAGCAAAAATCTGCAAATTTTGAATCGAACATACAGAAAAACATATTCTGTAACGACAACATTCAGAGAGTAAAAATGGGTTTGCACATTAGAATCAATACAGTGCGCTGTTATTATGCTACTCCAGTTAGGCGAGATTTGCATAGAATTGTACCAGGTGCGGGGAAAGTGGGTTGAGCTGAGACACTTGAAATCCTTTCAACGATTTGTAGCCAGTGCAGACTGGGTGCAATGGGTTTGATTTTGGAGGATTAGAATTGAATGCGAAGCAGGAAACGGGTCCTCACCGGAGGAGCGAAAGTGAGAAAAGTTGAGAAAGTGAATTGAGCAGACTTTCATTCGGAAATAAATCTTGGCGTGATGTACACGGGCCTGAGACAGTATTCTGAGCAGCCTTTCTTCTCACCGAGACCTGGTAAACAAACACCCCCCGTCTCCTTGCCACGTGCAATTTGCGTTAGTAATTGAGAACTGTTTCCCACCCACCAATATCCACACGATGCTCTTATCTGATCGGAGGATATCCTTTTTTATCAATCGAATCATAAAACTACCATTTCCAATTCTGGTAGGACACCAAAACCTTTGGCTCCCTATAAACAATGTTTGTTGTTTTTTCTGCGAAATAATTCCCTTCGAATAAGAATGAGGTCAAACGTCTCTTAATTTGTTTATTTTCGATTTTGTCTCTGCAAATACCCGAATTGACAGGGTTATCTAGCAGGAATTTAATCATAATTTGGTTGTAGGAATTGTTTCGTTGGTATAATTTTAATGCTCTTTCAATGAAAATATGAGAATAAGTAAGTTAGCATATGGAGGACATAGAAAAACTGCTCTACGAGACCACAAAACTGTGTCGAGTGCAGGTGGAAAGCATGGAGATGCAACAAAGATGGATCTTGAAGGATGAGTGGATTGGAAGAAACATGGAAATATTTTGGTAAGGAAACACAGACGGCGGTGCTAGAGGAGAGGAGCAGTGAAGTGAAGAAGAAATATTGTTGGGAATATAGGGAAACGTTTTCTAAATGCAAAAGGACTTCTTTGATCGCAAATCAATGATAAAGGTTTCTGCCCCTCCTCCGCCCAAGACGCTGCACTCACTTATACTTCATCCACGAGAAGACTCAGATTTCTGCTTTCCCCTCCGAAGCCCTTCCACGCCAGCACCACCGCACGGCTCCAACTTATTCAGACTTCTTCCTCATCTTCCTCTTCTTGTTTTCCCCGTTGCAGAGTGAATTGATAGGATGTGATGCAAAGACCGACCCAGCTATGCAGCCTTTATTCCGTCCAGCGGAGAAGGAATGAGAGGAGGCAAAGTTACAAGTTTCTAAATATATGGGGTCTCCTGGTGCTAATAATGGAAGATGGCCAGCTTTTATTTATTAGTAATGGCCTTCTCTCGGTATACATATTGAATGCTTTCTAGGTGGATAGTTAGATGAATTGTGAAAGCCCTTAAAGTCTTCATGGGTGGAAAATAAGAGGACGTCAATGGATTTTTACCGTATACATAGTTTGCAAAAAGAGGTTAAGGAGATAGTAGTCGGAGATATGAAAGTGAAGAAATCCTGTCATCCCATTTTAAATGAGGACCAAAAAATTATATTTAACTTAATAATGCATCATAATTTGATTTAGTTAAAAGCGATGCATCGTGATCATTGGGAATTTGGTAATATTTTTGCAATTTAGGGATACCCTTTCTACTCTGATGTACACGCTCATTAATGATGAACTCATTAACGTCTCTCAAATACGAGTTACTTATATGAACACGAATTAACAGATTCAAGCAGAAACAGCTTACAACATGAACATGTCTTACCGTGGGATTCCGTAACCCACTCTAAGGCATCAGCGTACTTTACTGTGAGGCGCCTGCAGAAATACGAAATAAAATAACTATTTTCCTTTAATTATTTTTTTAAATATGGGAATATTATTTACCGAATCACATCTATCTGTTCAAGGGTAAGCTGAACAGCGTCGAGGTGTTGGCTGCCACAGGGAACATACGCCGAGAACACCTACATTACAAGAACATACATAATTATTCGCAAACAATTTATTTTTCATTTATTGCGCATATATATTTATCAGATTGAGTGCACATGCATAATGCCTGCGTAACAATGTTGACAATATAAATACTATCAACACAACACTTGTTAATGTTTCCAGCACAATAGTGTCGCACTACATGTGCCTACTTTCATATCTCCATATCTATCTATCAATAAATCTGCAAATGGGCCAGTTAAGGAGATATGGACGAGGCTGGTGAAAGCTTGAAAGTTTAAGTGTCAATGTTCCATTATTTTATGGCCATGTTGATGCTACACACGATATGGTGTAGTACGTACACATTTAACTCTTTCAACCAAAATAGTGCATGCCTGGTGTATAGTGAAAGTGAGCTCTGTGTGCTATATGAATTTGATTATCTTCCGGGTCTTGCTTATTCACTACTTTCATTTATTTTGCGTGGCAGGAGAGAATAAAATTTAAAGAAACTTGCACTAAATAGATTGTGCTACATATATTTTATGCCTAGATAAATATCTGCCGTCTCATTGCATCCCATTATTTCTCTCCTCAGACTACTCATTATTTTAACTACGCGATAGTGGCCGAATATGTACTTATTTCAAGAAACAGTTGGCGAATGATTTTTTTTCCAGAAAATTCTGCTAATATTTAAATCTAGCAATATTCGAATAGAAACTATAAAAAATGTTTAGGCGTGTTTGTAACTGACGTGAACTGGTGCGGGGGGTGGTAGGGGTGACATTGCATTGTTAGTCGAACGAGTCGAGTGGTCTTATTGATAACAATTGATTCTTGCTCAGCTGAAGCTTATATTTTGAAAAACTTTTCTCTTTCAAGACTTCTTTCACTTTCTCAGCAGTTCTACTCTCCCAGTCATTTACCGTCAAAACTTTAGTGGCTCCTTTACAGACATTCTATTCAACCAGTCCTCACTCACTACTCGACTTTCAACTTCAACTTGTTTCATTAACTAACAACTAATCAAATCGTGAGACACAATGACAACTCATTCGTCCACGTTTCACTTTTTACAGCACTATATACGCAACACTTGGATTCAGCCAAAATTTCAACGCTTCAAGAATTCTCAATTCAATTATTGCTGAAACTGATTGAGTCTGTTCACTCACGCCACGTGATATTCCCTGACGATTGGAAGATAAAAACTTTGCAATTTATAAACTTTGTTTTAAGATAGAGTTCTCAAACAGGTCATGCCATATTTCAATTACACTTCTTCTTCTTCTCCTACGCCTTGCTTGAATTTCATGAGAACTACACTTTTGTCTTGCACGTTGAAAAACATCCATCTGCCTGGTCGACGGCGAAATAAAATGACTCCATTTAATAATTTATCCTGATGTTGATTGCATCTGTTGTGTTTGTCACCATACTGTGTAATTTATGGATTAGAAAGGCTAATTCAAATGGAGATGACAAAGAAAATGGTAGTGTGGAACAAAAGCGGAGGGTGGAGGATGACCGCGATATATTTGCCATTTCGTCCGGTCACCACCAGACACGGTCTCTTGCATTGTTTGAGCGTAATCAGATCAGAATAGAACAGAGCCAGCATTCTGTCCTGTTCCGGTGGTGGTAAGGTTGCGGGTAAAAGGATTAGCAGTGTCAGAGGTTGGTTGTAGAGTGTCTCAAAGCAAAATGACAATACATGGAGGTTCATTGTTATGCGCTGAAGAGATGTATAATTTAGATGAGATAGTAAAAGATGAACAGCGCACCTGGCACCCAACCATTCCTTCTTGAAGTCGCAATAAATCAGTGTGTGACCACGTACTCCTCGACCAAGGTTCCACTTTACGGAGGTCCGCTGAAATAATAAGCAGATACACAAAAATTAGTGTGTTGGATTAACCCAAATTAAGAGTCAGTTGATCGTAGTGATACTTTGTGTTTGACTAATACGCATAATTGATGTGCACAGTATGTAACATATTTAATGCTACGATCACATAATTTTTGTTTGTATCGTCATGATCTCGTAATTTTTTAAATTTAAAACTCCGTAGAAAAATGTCAAAAGTACTGAAATATACATTTGCATACAGAGAGTCCGGACTCTCTATGCAAATGTATATTTCAGTTTTTGAATTTTCGCCGCGGGGGCGATTTTAGACCTCAAACCTGTCCTTGGCGAAAAATTCCTGTGGGCGTCAAAAAAATCGTACACGGTCCGACCAAAGCTCATATTTCTTCTAAAGATATGCCGCACCCAGTAAAAAATATTGCAAAGTTAAAAAAAATTATCCACGAAGTTTTTTTTCCGACGTCTCAAATCTTCTCAGAAAAATAATCGTGACCTTTGACCTGTCTGTGATATTAAAAATCGGCGACGAGGAAATTGTCCGTAGATACTTTTGACATTTTTCTACGGAGTTTTAAATTTAAAAAATTACGAGATCATGACGATACAAACAAAAATTATGTGATCGTAGCATTAAATATGTTACATACTGTATATTTCGGGTAATAACGCATTCAATAAATCTTACCTGTAAAGTTAAAGTCCTGAATGTTATTTCTTAAAAATTTTCTCAAATTCCATGGAAAATCGTTGTGCCTGTGAAAACAAATTTAAAGAACAAGTTTCATTTTGATATTTCATTACTTCCCATGTTAGCTCCAGAAGGAGTCGTTATAAGAGAGTTTTTTCATGCTTCATTTATTTGAAACGGACGACAAATATAAATTTATGTCACTCGAACAAGTGCAACTAATCTGCGTTTTATGTAGCAAGTTGTAAATGATATTCTAGCGATACAAAGACAAGAAAAAATGATACATTATTTTACTCTGATTTTTATGAAAAATTCAACTAATCCTAAGGAGGGGAGGTTGCGTACCATCAACTCACGGATCTCGATGCCCTTTTGATATGTTATAGTGTCCCATGAATGAACAATAACCCTTAAGTGGTTTGATTCCATGGCCACATTCGCGCCTGCCACACCCACTCAAAGGTGCCCAAAAAACCCTTTCACTTCAGCTTTCACTCATTCAAAACCACGCCAAAAATCCAATTTTACTCGGATTTTGAAATTTCTTTCACAATTGTACTCCCAGATAGTTGTTTTCTTATTTCCAACATCAAACTCAACTTTTTTGATGATTATGTGGCATGCATAATTTGCTTTGTTAATTACTAGAACAATGCTCATTCAGAATTTTAAATTTTAAAAATACTAAAACTTCAAAAAGTTGTGTTTGATGTTGAAAATAAGAAAACAACTATCTGGGAGTACAATGGTGAAAGAAATTTCAAAATCCGGGTAAAATTGGATTTTTGGCGTGTTTTGATTGAGTGAAAGCTGGAGTGAAAGCGTTTTTTGGGCACCTTTGAGTGGGTGTGGCAGGCGCGAATGTGGCCATGGAATCAAACCACTTAAGGGTTATTGTTCATTCATGGGACACTATAACATATCAAAAGGGCATCGAGATCCGTGAGTTGATGGTACGCAACCTCCCCTCCTAGCGGTGTACATCGTAAACAGATTTATGTGCATGCTAAAATTGCATTGAATAGGATACACTAATTTCAGACACAACGACCGATCGTTGTGTCTGGAAACAGAGAAACCACAGAGTTTAGTTCTGAATCAATTCTGCAATATATTCTCAGCAATTTCTTATAATTAAACACACAACTTGGGTTACGCCATTTCAACCACCTTGAAACGGAAGGGGCAAGTATGCGTTCACACAGTAGCTAACAATACGATGGTGTGAAGTGTAACCCTCCGATTTGGTTGAAATTTTGAAATTAAGTGGTCCATGTCAATACAACCAATGTTTCTTCAGACAGTTTGTGCGATGGTCAGAATTTGTCAAAATATTTGAGGTACAAGTTGAAAAATGGGCGATTTTTACCAGGCGGAGGAAGCAAACTCAAATTCCCGTGCTAAAAATTGCACATTTTTCACCCTTAACCTCAAATATTTTGCCCAATTCTGACCATCGCACAAATCGCCTGAGAAATGTTGGTTGTATTGACATGGACCACTTAATTTCGAAATTTCAACCAAATCGGAGGGTTACACTTCACACCATCGCATTGTAAGTATGTATATATTACATACATTTATAGGCAGATACTTATGTCAACTGTCAACTGGAGTCTGCACTTGAAAGTTCAAACAGAGCAAGTCAAAGTTTAATTTCACTTTCCAATTTCAATTTCAAACTTTGTTCAGCAATTCAAAATAATATATAAGAGTTAAAAATTGATCATTGTTCTGCATTTCAAGAGAACACATTAATAAATATTGTATAACAAATCTGTCTGATACTGCATCTGCCTCATAATCAAAAGTTGAGACTGGTGACCGTTCAATTGTAACCGAACTTGTGCATTCTAGTTTATGCAGATGCGATAGTTAATTTTAAATATTTACTAAACAAATTTAACCCCATCAATTATAATTTCTCCCTGTTTATTGTTAGCCTCACTTAACAAAATTAAACAATTGTAAGCGCTTATCCTTGGGTGTGAGAATGAAAACGGGTTCACCAACAAATATCATTAAGAGTAGTGTCAATATTTTCACGTTAGTGATTAAAACCAGGAGAGTAATTGGATGCCCTATTAAAGTTGACTTATCAACTAAAGCTTTACCCGTCATCAAACTTTCAGTGCCGCACAGCAATATAAAATAATGTTTGTAATAATAGTGCTGCACAAACCTCCCTCCAGTGGGCAACTAATGCGATGTTAGTGAAAGAATAAAATTCCAAGTGTTTCCCTTCTAAATGCAGATTACATAAAACTGCATTGCTGTGCAGAAACAGCTCTGTAATTGAAATCACTCAGAAACTCGCGATAGATATTTATATCCAAAGTCAGTCCTACCGAATGTCCATGCATACCCGCATAAGGACAAACCAAAGAGATTTCTCTCTCTCTTTCTCTCTGTCGTGAAGGCAGAGACGCAATTTTCGAACGGCTTTTTACAAACTTTCACAACCAAAGTTTTCCACTGGGATCTAATTGTATCCACTCGTTCTCTAACCAACACGGAAACTGACACGGATGCTAATTGTTAAACTTTCTCTGTTAAATTTAAGAGTGGCATAGATTAACTATTCTCGTCCGGAATTACAAGTGCCCGGAATATTATTGATTCTATACCTGCATATTAAATAGCAGGAAATAAAGATTTGCTAGTTCAATAATTTGATAAACATAAATAATAAGTCTAAAACTTAAAAAGTTGAGCAGATTGCCTGCAATTATTATAAACAGCGACAATTAATACAAAAGTGGAGCAAAATTTATTTGAATGTTCAAAGTGACTGTGTAATAAGGTTATATTCATTTATGCATCCAATTATACTTTACACGTCGGTCGGCAGCTCTGATTTTGCTCGGTTATTACACCCTGATCGTCTGGCTATGCACAAGGTTGGGTTGAATTTCCATCTTCTGTGGGGAAAGAAAGAAAGAGTCCCCGGAGGAAAAGTAGTTGTGAAATAGGGAAGAGCAGGATTCCATGAAATGGCTCGAGTTTCTCTGATTGCCTAATAACTAACAGTGTTGCATAGATGACAAACATTCGAAGGAGACAGTTTAAATAGTCGGGATTTTAATGGTGACATAACTTATCCTCGGGCACTTTCACTTGCTTTCCCTCCGAATCACACTTTATCTCAATTTTCAAATCGAAGGAGGAGTTTATTTCGTAAACTTTTATTATTTCCAGTTGTTGTTTAGAAGATTAGGCATTTTGTCATTTTATTGATCCAGTAAAAATTAGTGTCCGCCGGTTGGGGTCAACCCCGTTAGCTGTCGATTTATACTTTGTGATGTCGTTTGATTTAGACCACTTCATTTATGCACATTAAGTTCTTCCCGTTTTGCTGGATGTGTCGCAAAAAGGGCAGAGCTAAGTGTGAGGCAGACAGACAGTTACAGGAGGATTGCCAAAGTTCGTGAGTGGTTCACTTCGGTCTGCATTAGCTTTTACAGAGAGCATGTCAGAATGCAAATTCTTACGTTGTCTCGTGCATTTCAATTTTCTTCCTCCTCTCCTCCGCACCCATCCAGATTAACCTTTCACTCAACATCAATAAGTACACGGGACCCCTTCTCTGTTTGTATATATGGTCAGACTTTGTCCAACTTAGGACTACACTCTACATGCTTTATTTATTATTGTTTGAGTGGTTCAATGGAACTAAAAATGAGAAAGAATGAAGATACGAGAAAGTTGGAAAAATATGAAAATTTTCTAAACTGATAACTTTTTCGTTGTTCAAGTTGCAAATTCTTTTGCTGCATGAATTGTACATATATTCACATTAAATTAACATGCTTGTTGGCTCATATTTAGCAAATGGTCGCAAGTTGTAAATGTATAGCGTAGGTTTTCAAATTCCTCTAAAATCGATAGTTTCGGTTTCCAGATGGAAATTCTTGAGTGCTTGTGGATGTCAAAAGCAGATATCTGGTTGCATGCTCTTGACGTTTCTAACAGAGTTTAATTAATTAGACGATTATCCAAGTGATCCAATATCCAATTTCGTAATCTCAGGCGAAATGCAAATCTCCCCAAGAATTTATGTATTTTCTTGAAATCAAGAAACCCCCAAAGATATTTTTCCCCGTAAATCCACAATTCTACTCACATAAGCATTAAGCAAGCAAGCTATTGTGTACATACCTATGTGTATGAACGTAATAGAGTAATTTAAGGAAGTGGTCATATGGCACTAAAATCAGTCTTACGTAAGCCAGTAACGTGTAACATTCTCCTTACCAAGTCCACTTTAAGACAATATCTATCAGTAAAAATGAACTCGGTTTACTTTTTCGTGCTGATTTTGTGTTTCCTAACTACTTTCTCCAACTTTGTCTCAAGGGTGGAATCCTTCCCGATATCAGCCGATAACCGCGACTTATTATTAGAAGCCGATTATAGAGTATGTCGCAAAGAATACATATACATATTTAAATATCTTATTGTGCTGAACATGAATATATCAGGCATTTTTTTCTTGCCAACAGTCAAACTATGAAGATTACAGATCACCCGAGTTAAAGAGACGACATCAGCGAATGCTGTGTTTCTTTTCCTATATTTTTACTAACAAGTGTTAAAGAAAATTACAGAATAAACCCACTGATTTTTTTAAATGCATTAACAAAGAGTTGTGTCACAACTCACAAAATAATGTCCCACAATAAAGAAACTTGTGTAACATAGGTACTTATTATCTGTTTCTGACTTGTAGCAAACTGTTATGTATTTCGACCCATATACATATGTAGCATCACATACATTCGCCACATGCACATAGGTCAGCATGATGTCTTCAGAAGGCATTGCTACGTGTATAAATTAGTAATTAAGTATGTACAAAACTTTGCCGTGGGAAATATATGAACTTCTAGAAAGATTGAGAAAAAATACTACTTGCTTTTCCAACTTGTAAATAAAAGTGTAAGGCTTTCATCCGTTCTGAGTAGTGAGCGAGGACTATAACCGCACAATTATTATTATCAGTGAATAGAAACCACAACTGTAATTCTGTCAACCAAATGGTTTGGAATCGAATTAATGGAAGGAAGGAGGAAAACCGTCCAAATTCCAATCGCGATGACAACCATAATGACGGCACAAAATTGGAAGAGAAAATAATTATTTGGTGGCTTGTTGTTGTAAACCTTCACGATCCACAACTATTCAGCTCAATACAAGAAATCCTTGATAATGATGTTACTGTTGCTACTCGTGCATTTGTTTTCATTCCTCCTGAATAGCTAGCGGAAACACTATTGTGCACTATCCTAAAATCAAAGTATCCTCAAATTCTCATTAGTGCACTGTAGTTCCGTTACATCTCCAATACTTGTCGCATACCTTGGACAGCCTAATGTTCCGTCCGAATCAATAGGAGAAATGAGTGCATACAACGTGAAAGTACGTATACAAATACTACATTTTATGGGCAAATAGCATTCTCACTCTGAATGAATCTGCATTATTCTCGCACAATGAGCTTACTTGGGTACAGATACAATTATATGCACTGCTTATGTATTCTTTCCGGTGTTAATATTTAAAGCTTAAAATTAGCAAAGATATATTTAATAAACGCAATCTAACACATAATGAATAGGCAATAAATGTCTGATGGGAGCATGGAACATACAGCTGTGAAACGTGTCTTACATATGTACATGTCGCCCAGTAATAAAACATTCAACTAGGACATACATACAAACGTCGTGAGAATCCCTGCAGTGGCCTTACATAAATGAGACCACTTATGCCATTCCCACAGGATCGCAGTCGCAGTGATCTAACTCAAAATTAAAGCCTCCACTTTACAAACCGCAATAAATTTTCCTACCTACGTGTGACTGAATTTGTCAATCAATACCCATCCTTACAGCAAACAACCCAGGTTACACTACTTGCTGGAATTCTGCATACAAATTCCGGAGAATGACGCTTTTCCGTAATTTAATGCCAATGCAGTTACATATGTATGTGCGTATAATGTGACAATAATAATGTAGGTTAGGTGCTACATAAAATGAAGACCGTTATTGCTGTCAAACTTGCAGCATAGAAACGGTACACTTGAAAATTTGTCCACGTGGGCGAATATACATATGTAGTATGGACAGTGCGCAAAAGTTCGTATAAGGTTCGCTCGACTGTCGTCGCATGTAACAGAGACGAAACTCGGTGACTGATACGGAAACATACCTTTATGACATTTATTGTTAACGCGTTTCCCAAATTCCTTGAGGGACACGAGAGAATATGTATATAAATCTTATGGGCAGTTCTCTTCTACTATGTATTGGAGAGAGATAGATATTCTCCGGAGGGACACAACCGATTTCGATATAGCAAAAAAATTGCAAACCAAAATGTTACAACTTCCATATCATATCATGCTCAACATAATCTCTGTGATCCGTCTTCTGCTCTTCTGATTCGACCCTTCCGACCTTCGAAGGTAAATATCTAAAGCCTGTTCAACTTTTGTAATAAGACTCTCGCTCTTGCTACTTTTTTGCCAAACGCTCAAATGCCATAGTGTGGTCATGTCAAGGAGAACTTCTCTCATTTTCTTCAATTTTGACCAAAGGATATCACAACTTTAGAGAAAGCCTGAACTGCCATTTATACTTGACATACCTCATATGTGACACTGACTGGAATTCTATAGCTCATACTCCAAACTTTGTACTAACCTACTAACCAAACGACATACATGGTTGGGAAACTTGAATGGAAAATCCCAAACTTTGCACACGATTTAATAGGGATGCGTAAAATAGGCACAAGAATGATGCTGGCATAAAATGTTCTTGCGTTAGACATAAACCACGTTAATAGTCTGACTGACTGAAGGTAAAAGGAAAACATGTTTTATGGGAGCAAGGTGAGCCATAATCTCGTGTAATGGTGGATGATGCTACACAATCCTGGAGAGAAAGTATGAGTCCTTTCTTGTGATGTATGTATGGTTGCAAGTTTCGTTGTATGAGGCTGGTCTGGCAAGAGGGGCAGCAGTTAGCAGTGCTGAATGACTTGGCGTCTTACTCTTCCTCAACTTGTACAGTTTAAAATCAAACCCAAGGTCTCCTGGAGAGAGGAGAGAATGAAGAATGTGAAGCGATTGCATAGTAGCAGCAGCAGCAGCAGTGGAAAGATGATAAGAAGATTCGTAAAGTTTTGCTCTGGTGATGAGAAGAAGACGAAGAGGATCCAGAGGCACTGTTTCCAACTGCGTTTTCAATTACTAGTTAATCTTGGAGAAAATCCATCTTGCTTTGTTGGTCTTCAAAATCCTGACGACTGATTCTAATGTTGTCTTAGCAGAATCCTTGGCTGAGAGATGAATAAGAGACGCAAGTGAGCAAGTAGCTCATCTCGCCAAGAACGAGAGAGAACGAGAACGGTCTAAAACCGGGAGCTTTCCACTTAACCATTTATTACATTTTCTTCCTCCTCCTCTCCCTTCGCCTGCCCCTTTGTAATCCACAACCGAGTGCCCAACTCTGGAAAATAAACCTCATCTGTCTCAATACTTCATTTATGCATGCACGACAGAGTCAAGATAGACAGAATACAGCCAAAATTATGTCGAATTTCAAATTTGACTAGTATAATTCTGCAAATATAATTTTACCACAGCTCCACGCTTACATACATTCATACATAAATACATGCATATGCATATATCCCAGTCGATGGAGTCCATATCGATTTATTACCATTATTAGGGAGAAAGTAGATAAAAGGATAAGAAAAGCAGGCAAGAAGCCAATATCTTGTTCTCGCTATATCGCCACACTATCAAATCCAGCTCTTTCTCTTATAGATGTCCATTTGTCAGAGCACTTGCAAACCAGCAGCAAACCAAACTAACCAACCAACCTGCAGCATAGTCAAGTCACCAAAACCGAACAAACCCTTCTCCAGCAGTGCACCACCACCAACCGAATCATCCACTTCAGTTGGATCGGTCTGCGGACTTTCTCCATTTTAGCCACAACCAATCTCGCCATACGTGTATGATGCACACGACGACGAGGAGTAGAAGCGATGGTGCTATCTATAGACCAACTGGTAAATACGTTCGTAATGTTCGTCGTCTTCGGTTAACAATTAATTGGAACATTGTCCATTCTAATCAAAGCCCTTCTCCAAAACTTGCCAGATCAATTAGAGGAGTGTGATTGTGAGAACTGATACAGCAGCAATCCACCCTGGCCAACTTCTCATTCGTATCTATATGACTCGGACTATATCCTATTTCAAAACAGGTTCCCACGTGTCGCAATTAAACTTTTCTCAAAATAAACTTGACCATTCCGTAGATTATTTATATGCCACACACAAATACGTGCATATCATGGGATAGTAGTTGCCCGCTTCTGAGCTGGGAAGAGAAACAATAAAGATATAAATTTGGACCGAAAAGAGTTTTCAGTGTCATTTACCATTTGGAGTCACAATTGAACCGATGCGTCTCATTCGTTAACTGGAGTTGCGAAAGAAACAACCATTCCCAGAAAAGAGGACGGTTGGTCATAATGTAATTTTCGGAAAAAGTTGTTCCGAACGAGTGGATTGCCTCCTTTGCCTCCAGTGAAGAAGGTAGTGATAACTGCACAACTTTCCCCAAGATGATGGGACAGTTTGCTAACTAACAAGCCCTGTTGGGAAGTTGAAGAAAGCACATCAAGTTATTCGTTGCAGTGGTTACACCAGATGTATACTAATAGTATCATTGGTTTCGTCGTCCCTCACTTGCTCACTCCAGGCAATCACATATCTGGCCTTCCAGAGTACCATCCAATCCGAAAAGAAAGAAGCTGTACATGGAACAGTCAGAGAAGAAGAAGAAGAAGACGAAAAAGAAAGTGAGTGGTATCTGTATTCCAAACGACATAGGCGGTGACGGTGAAATAAAATAGCTTTATTTGTGAGGCTACAGATCAATGAACTGTTTCTGCTCGGCTTGACTATCGTTAACTCCTTGATTGTAGATCCTGTGACCTGTTCCTCCTCAATTGATATTGCCTTTGCACTGCGGTTCATAGTCAATGGAGTCAGTTGTAGCAGTGTTTCAATAACAATGGTGGATCTGTTCCAATGTTCAAACTTCTGCGGCACCAGCATCATTAGGATCATAAACTTCAGATAAGGCAGGACAGAATCTTGCTCCAACTTGTTCCTATCCGCCTCTGCCGCTTTATTATAGCATTTCCAATAAAATTTCAAATCATTCTTCTCCCAATTGCCGTAATTATCATTACTTTAACCATTAACGAATGATGACCAAAGTTCAGTCGCATTGTTTAATTCGTTATCTCAAAATGCGTTCGTGACTCTGACTTTAGATTTTTTTACCACGTAATCTAAATTTTCACCATTATTGAACGGTACGAATGTAATAATACGGTGCTCGCTTAAAAAATTCGCATTATGTGTTTCCAATAATGAATACAAATGCAATTAGTATATTTATAATTAAATTTTCCTAAAAGTCAAAGTTATACAAGTGTCTACAAGCCAGAAAGAAATCTATTCCCATCATTGTTTTTGTAACAGTGAGCGCAGTTTAATTTCCCATGGGTTAGGAAGAAGTGCACCCTGGCAATTAATGTGCGCCTTAGGAGACAAGCTTTCAACATGAAAAATAACTCGCAGCCTCATCTCTCCGGTGAAGAATCTCCAATAAACTTTCTTACTGGGATTTTGTTTGTCTAAAAATTTTGGCCTTGTCCTTCGGCAGAGATACCTTGTATCCGAAAAAGTTTACAACCCAAGATAAATTACTAATAGAACAGTCAAGAGTAGAAAAATGTACAACTGTCAACTCGGGAGAGAAAGACCGACGTGTATGTTCGACCACCACATTCTAGTTCAGACCGTCTGAGATCCTGCTATTATACACAACTTTTTTAGTACTCCACTGGTCAGACACGCATCGACACGATCCACTGCTCGTCAAGTTCTCAGACAAGTGAAACGGATTTCATCTGGAGAGTCGATCAAAAGAAACGACACGAGGATTTTCCACCTGTTCCACGCGCTCGGACGACCAAATAATTGGCCTTATAAACTGAAAACCGAGTTGACCAGCTATAATCACTAATAAACTAATCCAGCTCATTTCATTTAGCAACCTTTCTCCTTAGAGGGAACGACCGTTAGGTAGGAAAAAGGAACTTATAGTAGGTTATGCAACCTGTATACCACATTAGCTCGGTAGTTACATGTGGATATAGTAAATACGTAGAACATGCGGATTTAGCTATTAAATGGGTTGCAAATCTACCAAGCTTACTGTTTATTATTATTATTATTAAACTGTTAAACTGTCTCGTGAGCTGTTGACGAGCAGGAAACATTTGTCGGCTGAAGGAACCAATTTGGAAAGCTATCTGGTGGAAGTAAGAAATATGTATTGTACGTCATGTGCATTGTTCTAGGCTTAAACAGAGCAGCAATGGAGCATTACAATTTTCATTCCATTATGTACAGGAAGAGAGAGAGGGGAAGGGGTGTTGTTGAGCACATATATTTCTATCTGCCTGGTTGAACGGGTGTGTAAAGAGTATCAAAAGACGAGCAAGTATATCCGCATGTACATGAGTACGAAGGAGAAAGGCTCCTTTGTTTCCGATTTCTCTCTCCAACAACTGCACTACAGAAAACAGAGGAGTCGGATCCTACGTGTTGTTGAGAAGGACCATTTTGTGTTTTGAGAATGGAATGAAATGAAAGAAGTTGAAGACAGAGGAAGAAAAAAGAGATGTCTGTGGGATGTCTTTCCTTTCTTTGGAAATAATACTTTGTTCACACAACAGCCGAGTTGCCTATCGCTCGGGCTCCGTCTTCTCTTCACTCACAACTGTCATCATTTCTCCGTCGTCGTCGTCCTCCCAAAGTAGCAATGGCTACTAATATCTATCTCTCCATCCATCCGTCCAACAATAATGATATCAAACACAAGAACGATGAAATTGTGCTTTCTCCAGACCATGCTCTTATTACTTTTACTTATTTACTGCAATATTCAAAATGCCAATTTCGTGTGTAGCTTGAACAAGGACACGGAGTAGAATGAAGACTGGGAATCATACTAATATTCATTGACGCTTTGATCATCAGCCATGTATTTATATTACATGCATGCAATATGATATTTCCTTTGTAACTTTGTAATTGTCTCACGAATGACGTGCATATGTACACATGAGAGAGGCAATAATTCTAAAAACAAGGGTGCTTTCTGTATCATAATTAATACTTCTCTTGGCTCTATTTCATATTCTTTGATATGGACTAGTTTTATTTCTGTAAATGACTAATAAGAATAGTAAGCAGGCTGTCATCACTCACCCATCAATCAATGGAACCTCACGAAGGATTTTTTGAGCAGCCTGCAAAGAAATACACCACATAAATGCATAAGTAACGTATCCAGAAACAAGAAACAAATTGCGCCTTTACACTCTGTACCAGAATTTTTTGTTGTGTTGAAATAAAACAAATTTTACCGTGAGTCGTTCTTGTGGAGACGTGATGAAATCTTCCATCATGGCCAAAGGTACACCAACGCCAACGCCAACAATGGCTGCCAAAAACAGCACGCAGCAAACGAAGCACCAGTGCTTCATTTTGAGATCCACTCCTAAATAAAAATAATTCATGTTATATAGACGATTATTTTGACACGTTGCAACTCATTTATTAAGAGTTCCGGACGTTGCACAATCCCCATTTCCAAAATCCACAAATAATTAAGTAATAAACTTTTCTTGTCAAAGGAAGGAGACCTTGGTTAAAGGAATTGTTAATTAAGATGAAATTAGTGGCAGTTATTCAAGAAGTGTCATAAATTTAGAATGGCTTCCTCCTTCCACTCAGGGTGACTCTATATACACATAAGTACATACGTACAGAGTGGTCGTAGTCGTCGTTCTTAGCGTGGTGAAACTGTTTGTGAGGCTGCAACAAGAAGTTCCCTCGGCTTGGACGACGTAGAGAGAGAAAGTTCAAATCTATGCTGTGCTAACAAAGTGCGAACCTTGTTTGAGTAAAGGATGCTTGTAAAGTGAAATTGATGTCATGAATAAATTATTGAGCCAAGCCTACATTAATTAGTAACTCCATTTTGCCAGATCGATTTTTGATCTTAAATTTTCTCTCCGGGCAAACTTGTTGGAAAGATTATTTGCAACTCTACACCGTGTGACTAACTAAATATGCATACCCGCAGCCAGCCATACGCTTAGTCTCTTTCTCCATTATGTTAATCTTTTGTTACACATAACATGGCAAACATGGTTGTGCAATGTAATTGCAAAGAGTGCCCAGAGGTCTGGAAAATCGAGAAACTTATTAAATTATTTACTAGTCGAATAAACTGTGAGATTATAAGCAGGACGTAAATTGGTAGTAGAGGAGCAAATGGAAAAAAATCTATAAATAAAAAAATATGTACAAAGATAGCGCGTTTCGCCTTCGGAAATACTCCTTTTGTAGTCGACAAATTAGCTCATGAGTTCCCAACCAAACTAGCTTTCGTGCAGTGAGTCACAAAGGAAACAAAGCGAGACAACTTTATCGAACAAGCAAGAACGGATGAGAATACATAAGGAAGTCGTCATGTAAAATACGTGGTGATTGACGCAATTTTTCATTTGCACTTGTTAGGTTTGTCTTAACAAATCAAATTTTTGACGCTTGGCTGGACAATTTCCTTTCTTGAAGGAAAATTACTTGTCAGTCTGAGCACAACAGCTTCCAAATGTTCCCATCATCACCAGTCACACTTTGCCTTCTTCATGTAAACAACTCTGATTAACTGACAAACGGTAGTCCTTGACTGCTTATCACGAACCATGACGATGATGGAAAGCAAAGTGGATGTGTGTCCGACGTGAAGTAGCTGACATGCATATACTTGCAGCCTTACAAACAGCTTGGTTAAACAGCTCAGACCGTGTCTTGTCAATAAATTAAGTAGTCAATGGGGGAGGATGAAATGACAGACTGATTCAAGCTGTTTCCGCACAGTTGGAAAGTGCTTCTCTGTAGTTTGCATTTGAAGTACTCAAACATTTAGTCGTTTCAAGTTCCGCTTGCTATGCTTCCCAATAAAAACAGCTAAAATAGAAATTATCCTGCTATAGAATTATCATGCGACGCATTGGAGGGACGACGAGTCTCATTGCTCATTACCAAATCTTTTAGTTGGTTAGCAAATGTTGACGTTGGAATTACAAATCTGTGATTCGGTGAGCATTATGTGTTTCCGTTCTTTCTCCGGCAAGCAAGTTGCTGCATCAGCCAAATTAAATGTCAGAGAAGGCTGGTCTCGAATAGTCCAGGCAAACCTTTGTTCGATAATTATGTGGACACTGTTTAATTATTAATATATGTTTATAACAATCAAGAATTTGTTGTTATATATATAGATATGTATGTTGCTTATTCGATATTTATTGTATTATATTTCTTATATATTTCTTAATGTATGACTTAAAATTTTGTATTGAATAAAAAATTACTGAATTTTAATTTTGTAGACTAATTACCAAAATTCTGAAACACATTTTTGGCACAATCACAAATACAGCAAGATTTGATAAAAATAAACATTGCTACACGATTCTGGGCTAAAATCAAAGGTGTTGATTCTGATTTCCATTTTGGTGCTAACATGTAGAGAAATGCTACTAAGTGAAAGTTGATGCCAAAGTTTCCTAGTTCTTGGCATACACAGAAGCACTTTGCCAAATGCAGATGACTACGCAATGATGGCGTCGGTGCACCGCAGGTTTATGACAAACGACCTCAATTTGTTTTCATAAACGAAGACAAGTCTCGAGCAGAGGTCTTACTTTGGGCAATTTATTAGATGGACTTAGTTTCCACTGATGATGTATCAAAAAATCTTGCTACTGCTGCTACCAGTGCTAGTAGCTCGGGAAATTGTAACAAGGAAAGTAGTAATCTAGTTTGATTTGGTCAGGTACGTTCCATTATTATAAATTATGCTTTAAGCCAGTTCCTCTTCCACTTTTATGACAAAACATGGTGTGGGAACAACACTTGTGGGACAAAGTTTGTTCACGGGGGCAGGCGTCGTGTGCATTTATACATAATTTCTCATGTCTACGTAACAGTTAGAAAGCTTACACAGGGGCCCGGAAAATGTTCATGAATGCAAACTTGCTTTTATTTTTGATGCACAACGACGAGGGATGAATTGGTTCTTGGATGATGATGATGATAAACTAAAAAGCTCACCAACCACCCACGCTTCATTGAAGCTGTGCACCTTCGTGTACATATTTTGGATGTGAGTGTGTGGAGTGGAGGCGAGGAGGTTGCATTTCTGATTTAATTTTATATATGAGGCGGGTAAGAGAAAGTTTTGTAAGGAAAAGAATTAAGACCTCTCGAGTCGCTGGGTGCAGCACCGTTTTCTTCTTTGCTGTTGGAACTCAGAGAATCTTGTTCGATAAGAGTTCCTCCGCCGTTAATTCTTACTGCAGATCCGTTTTGCCCAGGGAGGCTCACGACCGTTGAAAATCCTACAGGGCTTACTCGACTTACGTCTGGGAGTTCTATCACATTCGGTCCCTGTAAAGTAAAAAAGGAAACACACGTATAGCGGAAACAGGGAAGAGATAAGAAGTTTGCATTGCTTGCTGCTTGCTTTATTTAGCAAAATCTCTATTCTATCACCTTCACCCTGTTATTGTTCTGGGGTTTGCTGCGTCTGCAAATGACGTTGTGAGTCTGTCTTAATTACTTCGGGAGGTGGATTTTATGTTCCCTAGGAAATTGAGGACCTTAATGCGGATGAAATTTCATTTTAATCTTTTTGAGTGCGTGAGCACAACGAGATACATAATGTATTTATGGCTGTATTAGGGTCCATTTAGATAGGGCATGGTTTCTTCTCTTAATCCAACATTTAACAAAAATGTATTTTTAATGTCACCCCCTAAAAACTCTCGCTGTAACTCGTATTTTTGCAACATTGGGCAACAACCAACGCCAAAAATTCTTTGTCATAGTCACCACAAAAAGACGGCTGTGAACGAGGAAAAAAGCAAGGACTTATAAATACAAGGGCGGCAAGGACTTGGCACTCGGAATACATAACATGCATTTGTATTTCGATCTATTCTTTCTCTTCAACAGTCCGCCACTGTCCTCACACCCAACTTGCGAAACTTTTTCAACTTGCTGAACACGAAAGGAGACATCAACATGCAAGTTCATTCACTTTCTGTGTGATGGAAATAATCTAAATTCATGGCTCGTTGAGTATAACCTTGTTGAATGTGGTAAACGTATGAGTGTGTTATCTCAGAAAATTGGAGATGAACAAACTTTTGAGATCTCAACATACAAACACTCGCACACATTTGGTTAGGCTTAAATCTGATTGAAGAGGTGCGCATTTTGCATGTTTGTATCTCAAATCTCTCTCGAAAGCAGCCTTAAGCAATTTGCACAATTTGGAATTACAAAAGATTAAAACATTCAAAAACCAGAACTACACAGGGACGGACCGAATTAGTAGAAATCAGAAACGTGGAAAGCCCCAACGTGCGTGGGTGGAGAGGGAAAAAAAGCCCGTTAATATGTTTTGTTGCTTGGTTGGTACATTGTATTGAGGCGAGAGGGAATTTGGGATGGTGGTTCGTGTGCAGCTGGGGTTGCATAAGTGAGTGAAAGCAGTAGTAGGACGAGTGAAAAAGGTGGGACCGAATGAGGAATGTGGTGAAAGGGACAGAGGAATTCCGCCACCTCGCTGCTCACGTGGATGGAATGGCATCCAGGAGCACCGATTCTTCTTCAGAAATTGAAATTCGAATGGCTTTTTATTGGGTCAGCCGTCTGAACAGAATCACTCTTTTTGCCACGAAAGGATTTATTCTTGAGTCTTTAAAGGGCTCTAATGCCTCCTAAACTGGTCACCCAACTCAACGCTCGCTCTCTCGTCCAGCAGAATTTCATTGCCTCTCCTGCGAGCTAACCTATGCGAGCTGGCAAGCGAGTGTAAGGTGTTGTGTGATGCTTTTATGTCCTCTTTTGCTGTAAAGCTAAGCCAGACCAAATTCTTATTTCTGCTTCCCTTTCCTCGCTCAGTGCTCTCCATAAGATCGATAGTTCCACCTTCCTTCAACGAGAATTACGAGTGTCTTAAAATCCCTCGGAATCGAGATCTCAAACGCTCACATAACTCCCTTAGAACATCAGCTTTAACTGCTTTTACAAACATTGAGTACAGACACCATCATCGCAACACAGGACACTACGCTGCGTATATGAGTGCAGCGAGACGGGCAGAGCCAACTTGACACACACACTTTCCAGAGAAGAAGAAAGAGGCTCCTTAAATATTGTAACACTTTCACTTCCTTTGTCTCTTTGCTTTCTTTTTTCTTGATAAAACATTTCGAATTAAATTGTGCAGCATATAACCAGCTGCCTTTAAGACTCACCAGTTTGCATATGTATGAGAACACACAAGTGTGAACATGTATAAATAAATGTATACAGTTTATGCAAAAACAACATTCAACTCCGCCTTTGACAGATGAAATTGTTGCACAGTTATGCCCAGGATTACAAATTTGGCATCATTCTCATAAACATAAGCTGACACGGGTATCCAATCTCAGTTGAATTATAAACGGATATTTATTCAGATCATCGTTGACTACGTGATAAACGGGGAGTCTTAAAGGAGGAGGAAAACGTGGAAATTTCGGAATGAACTACTTGAAATGCTGAATTGTTATGAACTGGAAATTGTGCAATCAAGAAAACGGCATGTGATTTGGGAAATAGCTCAAGCAGAGATCCCTCCTTCCTTCCCCCCTCGCCGTCTTAGCCTCCGCACAAATTGAACTTCTCCATTTTCCCACTCGGCAGGTTTTGCAGACAGTTCAGTGATTTATGTGGATATTCTTCAAAGGTCAGGCAATTCAGACTTTGTTGGAATCATAACCGTAAATTTTGTATAAGCAAATTGAATAATCCAAAGAAGGGGCCTTGGATAAAGTTGAAGCCAAGAAGCAGCAAGAAAACTACTCCCCCTCACACACAAAAGTAGAAATTCTGCACGAAAAGTCACTCAGTCGTCGGCATGCCCTGTGTGCTCCGAGAGTCAATGTTGAATTGAAAAATAAAATAGGGCTTCATCTCCCAACTCGTGGACGCAATTCTAAAATTCTACATTTGTGTATACGCACATTGTCTAATCGTCTCATGACATATTAGGGGAAAGATTACACTAAAAGTTCTCATTTCAAATTAGAGATCGCTTATGTACATGAAGCCAAAGTAATTAAGCGGCTTTAATTTATGAGCTTAATTTTGCCGAAAATTTAGACCATGCTTATTTATGATGATGGTCTGCATGCAGGACGTACATATTATTGTTTACATGACCAGGGAACAAGGAATTTGTCTAATCCTTCATTTACCGACTTACTTTCTCCTCACAAAATATTTAGCATGAAAACCCTCAACAAGAAGGGATCCATAATTTTGTGCATCTTGAAGCTTTTTTGTATACCGTATTGTTAGGGAAACGTGGGCTATGCATGTACTGCATTGCCGATGTGCAACTATGTACGTAGGTACTCTTATTTTCACAGGAAGAGCTGTTAGTTGGCAGTTAGGTTTAGCGAGACCATAAAATATAGCTTATTTCATTCATGCCTACCCACACCAGCAGAGAAAACGGTTCCCTGGGCGGCGGGGAAAGCGGTTCACACTACATAGGCGGATGTCAGAGGTCTGATCTGTGATGGTTTGGCTACTTCTTTTTTGAATATCATTTGATGATTTACGGCTGAATATATTGTGCGACCACTTTCGGCAACCCTTTCTTCTAGACTTAATCTTCCCTCTCAGCAACCTTTCACTATCAGACTTCATGCCAAACTGCTGAAAGATTTTTAAGAATAAAAGCAATCCAACTATTATGTAGGTACTTTTGTATGCGCTGCCAAAGCTGCTCTGAGTTTGGTACAAGTGTACGCTACCTAAATTGAATTTACGAAATTCCCAATTTATACACACCTTAGTAATCCAAGCAATAGAGAATTATGTACACTAACTTCCAAGGCTGAAATTAAATTTGGTTTCTCTTCAAAAGCTTACTTTAAGGGAAATATTTGATTTATCAATTATAAATATTTAGTACACATATTTATAATTCAAATACTTTTCAGAATTAAAAAAGTTTCAACAGCAACCTAATAAATAGAGAAACTTGATACTATTTCAGATAGTTTTGAAAGCCATCGCATCTTCGTGCATGCAATAGAGAGAGATCTGAAGACGATAACTTTTCGCCTAGCCCCAGGAATTTTGCTCAGAAATAAATGAGTAGTTTCTTTACCGGAGCGTAAGACCAACATGTTCATCTCAAAGCTATACTTTTGATGTTTTGAAATTCAAATTAACTATCACTGACTTCAATCTACAGCTAATCCTAAGATCATAAAATTTGGGGGTGAAATAGGCAATTAATTTTCATGGGGTTCTGCATTTTAAACTCGCCTTGTCTTCTATACACACTTACGAGAACATAGATAGATACGTGAATATGTAAGACAACAAATTACAGCCCAGAGTTTCTACGAGGAAAGCCATAGCTCAACTGCAAAAAAAGTAAAATTATATCTCATCTCAAAAAAAAGTTTTTTTTGAACATTTGAAAGGTGGCATGAATATTTTCAGAGACAGGTTCAAGCATCGGATGAGTGGGGAAGTGTCCCAGTCTTGCACTTCTGCCTGGCTGAGCTCCAAAGCCGTAATAAAGTCACAATAAAAGAATCAATATTCAAAAATCCGAAAGAAAGTTAAATTGACAGCCGAAAGGTTTGAATAAAATTATGTTCGCCCCATCCACCCGTCGGTTTGGGTGATGCCTCCAGCAGGCAACCCATCCTGTTCTGCATAATTTGCTAAAAGAGGAAAGCACATTAGGTTAACTTATTCGCCAACTGTGCTGGTGTGACAGTGATGGTGGTGTCGCATGATGTGGTGCAAATACTGCACACGTATATCGGCGCCGGATACACAACGTATGCACGTGTGTGTGCCTGCTTTAACGAATGTCGAATATATAATACGGCGAATATTGCTGGGGGGAAAGTTGAGTGAGTGAGTTGGTTCAACGGAAGGAAAATCCTGCATGTTACACAATTTCTTCTTCGCATCCCGCAGCCGGAGACTGTCTAACAAATTTCATTCAAAAATCTTTGCTAATATTCCAGAGAAAATGAACCGTGTCCCATTCAGGAAAATCGTCTTTTCCTCTCGTCTTATCTCTCTGTTTCATCTATCAGCAAAGAGAAAATGCCCTTCAGCTGATTTACCAAGTTTCATTTCCCTTCAGCTACTCAGACCCATGTCGAATTGAAACTCATTCTACCACGTTCTCTCTCAATTTGGCTAACTTTCTCCGACGACGACCAAGTTCAATAACTTGTACGGAAGGAATCTGCAAAAGAACATGGGGTGAGGGGTTCCCGAGGAGGAGGGTTGAGCGAGAAGGAGGTACGATAGGCGACCCACAGTGGGGCTATGCATCTCTCTCTCTCTCTGGG